AGCCTGTATTCCTCCCCTCCTCATCCCTTCCCCTCCTCTCCCCTCTCCACCATTTTCCTTGAACGGAAAAACTTTTTCTTTCCCTCACCGAGATGAAACCTTAGTTTGCTCTTTTGCTTTTACTTTTGTTTCGTTTCCGTTTTCACCTGCAGGAATTACTCAAATTTATCTACGTGTGTTCTAGGTTCTAGGGCATTTCGCTAGTCACTCTAAGGCCATCTCCTTTCCCCCAACCCCTCTTCCTTGAGTTTTGGAACAGTAAATACTTGATATAAAGAAAAAAACAGTACCAGCATACAATTACTAATATTCTCGGAAAAATTTAAAAATATATGCTTGATTTCTGTTAAAGTAACTGATGAGCTTTTCAAATAATTTGTACATTTTAAGCCACTATTTAATTTATTAAAAACTTTTATGCCACACATGATTATAAATAAATACATAGCTATAATAAGTTGTAATGTTTGATAGTAGATATTTGGACTGTATCAAAAATGTTTTCCTTTAGAATGGGATTTCAAAAAATTTGCACAAGCTTTTTAGTTATAGTTAGTTTTAGTTTTAACTTTTTGCTTTTAATTCATTTTTAACAATTTTTAATAAGTAATTCTTGTAGATTTGAATTTGTTTAGTTAACCATTTCCAAGTTGCACTGTGTTTGGATTGTATTTTTGTTTTTGTTTCTACTTTGTCGCTTATTGTTGATTTTTTTTTCGTGTTTTGGCCTTTTTGCTGCGGGCATTGACTGACTTCCTTCCTGGCTGCCAGGACGAAGTGCGGGGGCGGGGAAAAGGAGCCGGAGAAGAAGATGAAATCTCCTCTTTTTGGAGCCTGGTGCCTCGTCTTCTCGGTTGCGTGTTTCGCTTTTGTACGTTTTCTATTGCTGCTTCCTTCCGATATTCCTCCTACTTTTCCCCTTCCAAAGCGACTTTCGTGTTGTATTTATATTTTTTTCTTTTTTCCTACTTTTTTTCCCCTGTTTTTCGGTTTCTGCTTTTCTTTGGACATTTTTTTTTCTTTATTTCCCAGTGAATTTGGTTGTCTCGCACGTGAGCCGCATAATGAAATTTGCCACTCCCTATTGTCTTTGTATGTGTGACGCTTTTCCCGCTGTTTGTTAGTGTGTGTGTGTGTGTGTGTTGGCCCAGCTGCTTAGCCTAATCTGATGTCGCCTTAAAGAGATGTCATTGCTACCAACCCCCACCCACGAACTCCCACTTTTCCAACATTTACCTCCCCCCAAAACGATGCTCCCCATCCCCATTCCCATCTAATGCAAAGGAATCTCGGCCTGAATTGGCCTTGGTTTTCCGTCTTTGTCCTCTTTGTCGGCTTATTTGCATGTGCTTCGCCCGAAAGGTGACAACACCAAATGTTCAATGTGCCAAAAAACAAGCTACCATCATCGACATTACCCAACAAACAGACACAAGAACTACATAATGTAAATACTTGTGGGAGTTGAGAATTAGATTTACCCATTAAAAATGTGGGTTTGTTGTACAAGATGAAGAAAATACTAAGGAACAAGGCAACCCTTTCTAGATCTAAGTCTTTAGGTTGAGTTGCTGCTAAAGCTTATTTGGTTATTGCTAAATTCTAGAAATTATAGTAAAAACTTGTAATTTAACAATTAATATATAAATTAATGTAAAAACATTTGAATTTTATGTTTCAATTCATAAAATTGAAGAAATTATAGTAAAAACTTTGTAATTTAACTGCATATTAATATATAAATTAATATTAAAATACATTTAATTCGTTTTTAAATATATAAAAATACCTATCGTATTTTATGTTTCAATTTATAATATCAGATTTCTATTTCCTTCAAACTTTTTACAAAAAGAGTCAGGTTCAAAATTGTTTTCAAGGATTTTGTTGAATGTTTTTCTATATTTACAGGTCTATTTTCTACGCTTTCACTAAGCATACAACATATCTTAAAACTTTTACCTTAAAAAGTCAGGTTTGAAATTGTTTTTTATTTTCCAGGAATTTGTTAAATATCTCCCTATATTTACAGCTCTATTTCCTTCACTTTCACTTGCCATAGAACATACCCTGGAATTTGGAGACTGCGGGGTACGAAAGCACACACTCATGCAGTACAGACAACTTGAGGTCTTAGCTGGACCAATGTCTGACCCCTCCCAGTCATCCTCTCTTTTTACCACTCCTGCCCCCCAACCCATAGCTTCACACTTTTTGGCTGCGGTGTGCTTTCAAGTGGAAAATTACTTTCGCAGCTTTATGATGCGGAAATTATATGAAAATCATGGCGAATTTGCCTTACAAGGAATGCCAGCGAGTCGAGTCCAAGGCTCCTGGTCTCTGAGCTCCGTGCTCCGTACACCGAGCTCCATGTCCTGTATTCCTTCTGTTTTCCGACCACTGGAATCCGCATCCCGTACATCTGCATATGTAGCTGTGCTATCTGTGAGCCCGATCAAGGCGCCAGCCACGCCCCCTGCCATAGCGCCCATCGCATAATGAAACGAGCTTTTGCTTTTGCTTTCGACTTTGGCGACGCCGTTGACAACTTGTGGTGTCCCTCATCCGCGGCTCATCTCGCCCCATTCCAAAGGCACTGCGAAATATTTGGATTTTGTAATATGAAAGGGTTTTATATAACAACAGTAGAAATTTTAATTACATGTAATTCTTGAAGGATTATTGCTTTATTATCTTTAAAAAAATCTTCAAAAAGGTTTAATATTTGTATGGGATAAGATGACAATTATTATCCTTTCTTTAATGCTAATAAAATATATTTTTCTAACAAATAAGTAACATTTTATTCTGCGAATTTACAATTATAATAACAATTTTCTTAAACATTGAAGGTCTTTAAAACTCGAAAACTATAATCTTCAAAATGTTGGCTAATTTTTGATCCAGAATATATATTTTGTTGTTTTAAAAAGTTACTTAGATGCTCCAAACAGACCTTAATTAAGATGTCACTTTATGTAAGTCACTGTTTGATAAAACGCCCTTTTAAGTATGCTACATATTTTGAAGGATGCAGCTTCGTTCTTTATTGATATTTTACACAGTTCAGAACCCTTTAGGATGTGTAACGCTTTAGCTTAGTCAACATTTTCTCCCAGTGCACCCCTCTCGCAATCCAGCGAGCAGCTGCTGACTGGCTCCATTTCCATTTGAATTAGCATAAAACGAGGCGGCTTACGTCTGTCTATTGGGAAAGGGGGCGTCAGAGAAGGGCGACAGTAAGGGGGGCGTGGCAAGGGGGTGAATCCAAATCCGAATCAAAGCCAAAAATGCTATGGAATGGGGGATACGTACGTACGTAGAGGTCCTGTAGCAGAGATATCATCTGTTGCTGCCGCCGTGGAGCTGTAGCTTCTGCTCGGCAGCTTCGTTATCTTTTTAACTTGCTGGCTGTCGTTTATTTAACTGATAATGATTTGATGGCAGTTGGCTAAGCTTCCAACAAAGCCGGTAGACCTAGCCCCCTCCACTTTCATTTCCATTCCCATTTCCACGCCCATTCTCCGCCATTTACTGAGGTCAATTACACGCTTTCGATTAAATTTACCATGGATGCTCGATGCTGTATTTTGTTGTTGTTGTAGTTGTTCTTCTGTTTGGTGTTGACAGGGAACAGCTGGAAGATCCTGCCTCTTCTCACTCAGCCCCAGAATCACTATTGCCATCTCGCTTCCACGTGGAAGTATCCGAGGTATGTATATAAGTGTGTGTGCGAGTGTGAGTGTGGCACAAATAAAGTTGAATTATTATTTTTCTTTATGCTTCCAGGAGGCGGGGGCTGTGGTTGGGGGCGTGGTGCGTGCTTGGAATGCTCAAGTGTTGCCAAGTTGCATATTCGCTTCGTTATCCCATCGGGCTAACACACACACACACACCCACACACACTAAAAGACATAAGCTTTAAAGAGGGGATTACTGAAATACCATATTGGATATTTAACACGGCGAATTCCTCAGGACATTCTTGAATATCGCTGGGTTTTATAAAACGCATACCAGCATGTCCCCAAATATGCTAAAAATCATTAAATTTTTAGGTTTTTCTTCCAATTTTAAAGAACAACTTTCTTTGAAGTTTTCTTTACGTTTTTGTTTTCACGATACATTATAATTTTATTATACATATTTAAAACTTTCTTAGCTTTTAGCAAGAAAGTCTGCTTAGAATGAGATAAAAAGTGCTAAAATCTTGAGTAATTTATGATCCACATTTATTTATTGAAATACAATTTAGCGAAATTATTAAATTTAATGATATAATAAAAAGCACGTGGCTCTACTTCGAGTGTTTATGTGCGAAATTCGAGATGATTTTTATGCATCTACTTTTCAGGTTTCTAAGGCCTTTAAATTGGTGTGAAATTCATTGGTTTTTATTGCTTCACCGCGTGTGTTTGCCGGATAATAACCAGGCGTGTATTTAGTTAACATTAAAGTACGCGTATTTTGCTTTATTTGGCAAAGAACGTAAAAAATTATTACCTGAAAGGCTGGAGATTTTTGCGAAAAACACAGTACTGCTTTCAAGGGAAGATATTTTTACACATGTATACATATGTATACATATGTATATATAAATGTAAAGTGCACCTAATTAAAGGACGCTGTGTAAATAAAGGCAGGTGGATTTTTTCTTTTAATTTGACCCGCATTTAATCCATTCAGTTACATCATCTCAACTCCGCTGTTTACAAAAAATTATAGCTACATATTTGATGCACATGAATGCTAATTTAAAATTTGCCTGAAATATTTGCATAGGACGTGCTAAGTATAAAAACATGTATTTATTATGTCAGGACAGAATATTAGTTTGGTGTACTTATTAAATTTCTGTGCAATTAATTTGTGATTATTTATTATTATAATTATTTTGTTATTAATTTTCATTGCGTCAATCAATTCAGGGATTCTTAATTATGCTGTATTTTAACAACCAACATATTAAAACTAATTATTTTGGCCTATAGCCTTTCCTTTACAGTCATTTCCGTAAAATCATCATAAATTAACATAAATTTTGGTCAAATCTCGATAGATTCCCCTTGGCCAGTATTCTCCGGTTGCGATGAGCGAACCGCTCTCGGGTCCCTGGCTGCGTTTCATTTACAATGGCCTGTTGCTGAGCTCGGCAGTGTTTTCCGGCCGTAAAATGCATCCGGAGGAGCACCCGTTCGCACTGGCCGCCTGTGTGGTGGTCGGTGTCTCGGCGGTCTGCGGATTGCTCCGGGCGATCTTCGCCAGCGGACAACCGGAGGAGTGCCGCAAGCTGAGGGACATTACGCACGGGGTCCTGGAACTGGTGCCCTTGCCGCTGGCCAACATGGATCTCTATATGCAGTCCACCGGGATGAGTGCCATCGCTTTGGGCCACGCCTTCTTTGTGCTGCCCCTGATTTGCGATTTGGGTTGCTCCCTGGCCAAAAATCGAAGGGATTGTTCCTTCAGCGATAGCCTCAAGGATCTCACTGTGCTTGGAAATATAGTATCCCTTGGATTTCTGGCCTTTGTGGAGCGAAATTTCCGGTATTTTCGGATGATGATGGTCATGATTGTGGTCAAGTATGGAGTCGTTCTGGTGGACAGCATCAGGGAGGACGCCGGGGAGGATCTGCAGGTGTGCGGCACAGCCCTTTTCATCCACCTGCTCGGCAAGACCGTCGAGTCCTCCGCCTCCTGATCCTTAGCTTAACCCCTGACCGCCGCTCGCTTCAAGGGTTTCCTTCTGGTCCCGCTTAATTTCCCATGAATCGAGTTTTGACCCGTATTAAATTTCATTCCAGCCACTTTTCAATTGCCGTGTTCATGTTTGCTCATGTTTTTCTAATTGCTCGAGCACCTCGAGCTTTCTACACTTAGGAAACCCTTAATTGCATACAATTATAGGGATAAGGCAAAAAAGAACATTTGAACTGGGAAGCTATATAAACCAGCTTAAATTTTTCTTGACTGCTTTGTTTGTAAGGGAAAGTAAACCCAAAAAATCATATTTTATAAATTAATGAACTTGGATTTATTTTATAAAATTACAAAGCGTAGAAGGTAATATTCCTGATGTATATTTGTTTGCGAATATTTATACAGTGCTTTACAACTAGTTTGAAAACACACAGATAAACTCATAAATCTTACAAAACTTAATAAATAAATACGAAGAGTACGTATTCTTTGAGTGCACACTGGGATTCGACTTGTTTGGCTTCCCTGGTGTGTCACCCACACATTATAATGATATATCGGCGATTACCAAGGCGAAATAAGTGCCTCCAGTCAGTCGCTCAGTCGCTCAAAGCAGTCGCTGATTCATCGCTCGAAATCGTTCAAATGCTTTCGCCAATGGTTTCTGTCTTTCAGCGGGGGGCTTATCAATTGATTCGGGCTGGATAACAAGGCAATCGTACTCTTTCGATACGCTATCTGCCGATAAGTACTTGTGGCGGGTACCTTAACTCGTACTTCTCCCCGGCTGAAAAGGTTGGCTGAAGCTGAATGGAGAGTTTTCGTGGATGAGCAGGTACTTACAATGACTGGAAACAATGAATAATGGCAAAGGTAATTTAATAAGCCCATTTAAAGGTAATGGTTTGGCTACAATATATTTGCAGTATATTTTTTAGGAACTAAGTTGGTTACCTTATGTTGAATAGATTTAAATATGTATTTATTGTTTTATATTTGAATCACCAAACACAGGCTTACACCATCTATACAATTTTAAAATATAATAAAACATATCATTTTTTTCTGTTTCTTTATTGGTTCTGGTTCTGCATTTATAATTGAAATCTGTTCAGAACATATTAAACTCTATCGTCAAATCAATAAAAACCAAACTAAAACTTCCTATGCATTTATTATTAAATCCAAAATAAAAACTGTTCTAAATTATAAAATCCATTTATCACTTATGATTAACTTGGAGTGGGATACTGTCGATGACATTTGTCAATAATAGACTGAGAGTGTTTCCATTTTTTTTGACACTGCGGCGGTTTCGATGTTGTCACTTTTATTATTTGTTGCCCGCTTGTCACCCATATATTTTATATATTTTCGCGCTGCTGTCAAATGACAAACTCTAATTGCAAGTGGGACGGATTTTAATGAGTGTATGCGGAAACATATACAGAAGGTACAGTGAGTGGTAGATATATGAGACAAAAACTATAAAACTATTGAATATATATAAATATGTATTTATTACATCATTATCATTACTTTGAAGTTTTTATTATTTAAATGTATTTTATTTAAATGAAGAAGCAAACACAATCTTTTTAAACGAATTTTTTAGTTTAAGTAATCGAATATTTGAAAATAAAAAGGTTTAACTGAACTAAATTTTAAATTTGTTTTCTGTTTTCTACATAAATCAGTTTGAGCTAAGTTATCTAGCTGATTTACGAAATTGAAATGTATTACATATATACAGGATTTTATGTACATTTTTGTAAACTCCCCAACTATGACTATTTTCCGGCTTCCGCCCGCTGAAAACCACCATCCTGATTTCAGGGCAACGTTTTGCTTTATTCAACTTGACAAGTGAAGTGAGTGTGAATATTTTTTTAGGTCACAACAACAACAAAAACAACAAGAACAGGACTCCATCGGAAAACTCAAACTCCAATCCTGGACTCTGGAAACTCTTGCTACCTGGCGAAATAAATAAACCGAGAGGCAAAAAAAAATATACGGGAAAAAGGTGCAAAAAGAGTGAAACACACAGGAAAAATACAAGAAATGGTTCGAATCCTTTTCCATCCTGTTCGGAATTGGGTTGCAGGGACGAAGCGGGGGAAAATGGAAGGTGGACGGTGGGAAATTGCAGTCAACATTTATTTCCGCAGTATGATGGAAAAATTCGAAAATAATTTGCGAGCCATAATTAAAAGGCGACAGCAGAAAAACTCGGGGAAATATGGGAAAAGTTGAAGAAAAGAGTGGAAAAAAAGATGACGGGATAGTGGGTTAGGTGGGCGGGTTAGGTGATAAAGGGGAGGGGCCATAGTTAGAGGAAAAAGAAAGTCAGTCCCTCAATGTGCTCAATCCGCTGGGGTCATAAACAATTCCAGCATAGACGAGTTTTCGATTTTCGCCTCAATTGGCAACATATGGTGAACAGACTCCCTGAGAGCAAGCCAAAGGATCCCGCAGTTCCTCATTCCTATGATTTCCCCTCCACATTGTTTTCACACATGAAAAAATATATATGTAAAAAATAAATAAATAAGCAAATTTGTAAATTAAAATACAGATAATATTCAGATAAAATCGTAGAAGTAGGATAAAAAACAGGTTAAAGTGGAGATAGTTTTTTATGCGCACCCAAAATCTTAAAAAAATGTACAACTTAAAAATTTTTTAACAACTTTTATTTACAATAAGATTACTTTCCTTTCAAAAATTTTAAACATAATAGTTTTCGAAATTGATACTTAAATTCAGTAAATTTGTTTCAGGACATAGTTATAATCAGCAGCTTTAAATCAATATTACTTGAATATTTAATTCGGTAGAGCTTGGTTTCCTTAATGAACTTAAAAGGGAATTGAGTATTGTTCGTTTCCCTACTTTCAATCCATTTTTATAGTGCAGATTGTGGGCGGGTCATCATTTGCATTTGTGACTGCGAATTGCGAATGCGAAAATTTAAAGTTTTCCCGATAAGAGGGTTGTAAAAGTACAAAAAGCGGCGAACGGGAGCGGAACGGGAAGCGAATGGAGTTACTGCTGCAAAAAATGGCGACGTTTGCGAGGAAAGCGACATGAAAAGGGCGGCAGACAAAAGACGAAGACGCAGGCAGCAAACAAGAAAAATCGCTGCCGGCTCCTTGGGCGGGGAAAATTCGCATTCGCAGATGGGGTGGGGGTGATGGGAAAAGTGAAGGATGTAAATGTGGGGAGGGGGGGCAGAACTTTACTTATACGACTTTTTCGCATTGTAGAACGCGCGGCATTTGCCAGAAGGTGCCAACACATTTTATTGTTGTACCCTGAAAGCCAAGGGTACTTTCAAAGTTTGGGGACATTAATTTAAAAGGTCATCATCCGATCGAACACTCAGTTTCGTTTGTAAGCGAAAGTAACATAAAATTGTTTTCAAACTTTCATAAAATCTTGTTAAATTGTGTGTGGCACTTAAATAAAAGAATAAATAAATTCATTTCTTTAAGTAGAATTAAATATAATTGTTTTGAAATCCACAATGCTTCAACTTCTTGTGAATAAATAATTGGCAAAATTTAAGTTTTTTTATGTATTATAGTTTATAGTTTATGTATAGTTTATAAAAATTATTCATTTTAAATGCAGAAATTTCTCTAGCTTGTTGATAGCTTTAAAAAGACCTGAAAGAAATCCTAGACGAGCTTAAGTTAAATTTATTTTTATTCCTTTCTATTTCTATTGAAAGTCCTTCAATCGAGTACAAAAGACTCCAGTATTTATCGAGCAGAGTGCAAACACATTTGCTTGACTTTTCCACATACTTACCCCGCTAAATGTTTCCCTATGCAAGCTTCTCCCCTTCGAGCAGGGTATACAAACTTCACATCGACGAGGTCCTGTTCTCCTTTTCGTGTTTTATTGTTCGACAATTCACCGACCCGCACGTTTCCATCATCTGTTTTTGGGGTGAAACGGAGGGGGTTTTCCACGAGGGAAGGGGAGGGGGAAGGGGGAGTGCCACGTTTAGATCTACGACACACATTGGATGGGTGTATCGCACATGTCTCTATCTATAAAACGTCAACTTTATTTGCCCAACAACTGAGGCAAATGGCGCTCCAGCCAAAAGCCAGAAAACGGAGTGGTCTACATAAGACCAGCTCCATGGAGCATCCCTCGTATTCGCATTCATGTTAGTCCCACCCAGTTAGCAATAAAACCAGCTGTCAATTTGTTTATATTATAAAAAATAATTAGTCTGTATTCAGCGCCGAAGTCGACGACTCCATCATAGATGTATGTATGTTTGGATGTATCATATTATATATATGCACGTAGGTTGGATTTAGCAGGTTGCACATTGCAATTTGGGTTGAAAGAAGATTTCGTGTGAGAGGGGGAGTTTTTGGGACTTTCGGTGATTATGTTTAGAATTTAAAGCATACGAGAGCGGGTTTTGTGGGTGATTAACTACGCTTGATAAGTGGAATAATAATTGTACGAAATATGTATGGATAATGCAATATAATTAGTGTGTGTTGTATGGCTTAGACATTTCGCTTTGTTTATATGCTGATGACGCTGACTAAAAAGGCAATGAAGGAATGTCGATAATTTTAATTATAGTTTGGTGATCGAATCGAAACGAACAAAATGCGGCACAAAATTGAAGCTATTCCCCCAAAAGGCGCACAAATCGTTGCATACCTCCGGGCGTCTTTCATTCTGCTGGCATTCATTATGTGTTGTGTAATATATTTGTTACGTTAATTATATAGAATATGCATTAGGTTTCCTTAAAATCATCCATCGATCCGCCTTCCTTATAGAATATGTATCTCTGATAAATATATATAATTTATTTATTTTTTGTTGAATTTTCGTCATGCTTCCGTTTGGTTTCATTTCATTTTGTTCGTTTTTCGTTTTGTAACATAGTTTATTTAGGCAAAAATGGCAACAAAATTGTATGTTTAACATTTGTCTACTGTGCAAAAACCGTTTCGCTTTATAGTCAGTGGTTCTTGTCGCTCTTGTCCTTGATTAGTAGTAGATGTGTATAACTTTAGCTAACTAACAATTAATTTAAACATTTTGTAACTTATAATTGGCAATAAATCGTTTGAATAAGCAAACATTCAACATTTAGCATACTTGATCTTAAATCGACTGCCCGAACAGATAACCCAAACTAAACAATAAATAGCTATATGATATATGTATGTATATTGAGTGTGTATATATATATGTTCGCGTGTATATATAGTGTATGTATATAGATGTATCTCTGCATTGTAAAGTCATAGTGATTGTAGCCTGATTATGTTAATAATATATTATGTTCAATATTTATAGATACAATAGGGATGGTCGGGACTTTCTTTCAAGCAAGAATCCTTAATTCCTTAACTTCAAATGTTGTCCCGATTATCCGACATTATGCTAGCTGGCAACTTAAGATATTTAAAGCCCCGTTTGAACTTATGCGTGTATTTAGTGAGTGAGTGAGTGATTGATTCGATTGATTTATAGCGTAGACAGTGGGTTACACAACTGTAAGGCAATAGAAATGCGTTGCTTTAAAAATTCTAGAAAAATCTGGATTGTATGATATTTAAAAGATATGGTAAGTAATTAGCTTCAAAAAGGGTTTCTTTAAATTTAAATACAGATGGTTCCAAAGATATGTTTACTTGTATTTTGACTTTTTTCTATAATAATAAATAAATTCTTTTATGAGAACTTCAAATTACCTTACAGCTTCGCAACCCACTGATTTAATTATGAGTTATTTAGGTAATTGGGTTAGTTATTAGATTACTTTAAAATTGATTTTTCCTTTTCACTGGTTTTTGTTTTCCCTTATTTTTTGTGTTTGTGTTTTCTTGTTTTGTTTTTGTTGTTGTGGCAGCCGTCGCCTAGTAAAAGTTAATCAGTCGCTATCAAAGATCCCCTATCCTTCTACCTCATCCTAGTCGTGTTTTCCTAAAACTGTATGATATTTTTCCATTTTTGGTTTATGTTTGCTTGTTTCATTTTTTTGGCCATTTTGAATGCGCTAGACTAGCTCGGTTTTTCTCGTTCTTTCTTTTGTTTTGGTGGGTGTTTTGGACTTGGATGCGGTCTTCGTTGGTTTAAAAATCGCTGATCTCACCCTCAGTCTCTGGATAAGTGCAGGAAAAGGGAGTCAGTAGCCAGTTGCAGAGACCCTTGTTGTTTCCAGCTTGATCCTGTCGATGTCGCTTCTTGTGGCACTGCCTCTGATAATTTCCGATTCCCGTCGTTGTGACTGCTCCTGATCCGGAAATCGTGATGCGATGTCGCTGACCCTTTGACATTCCGGATGCAAAGCTGCTCTCATCGGAATCCCTTACGGTGGCCACACTGTGGTAGCCACTTTCTGCCCTCCGGGAGATTCCCGAGTGCTTGGAGGTTCTCGGCGTGGAGTTGGAATCGTGACCACTGTCGTAGGCCTCGGAACTGGTGTTCAATGGCAGCAAGGGAAGTCTTGATTGGGCAGCCAGTGGTAGAATATTGGTGATCTCATTCAGCTTGTGCTGCGTGTCCTCCAGGGAGTTCCTCTTGCCCACCGCCGCCGCCATGGCCTTCTCATCCAACTCGCAGATATCATCGTGCTGGGGGGTAAATCTTTTTTCTCCCTTCTGCAGATTCGGATCGGAAGCTCCATCTGGTTGGCGGAGTAGAGCGTAATCATCCATCCCGGCGATCTCCATTATGCCATTCAAACTGGGCAGTGATCCTTGACTCGGACTGTGAGAAGGTTGTTTTGGCGGACTGGGTGTCAATCGGTAAGCTGGCTCACTGCAAACGCTACTTTGGCCCACATTGAAGTGGTAGACGGGCTCGCTGAAAACGCTCCCTATATCCGTTCGGAAGAGGGCGGCCGAGGGCGTGACCTCCGCCATCGCCAGTTGGGAGGTGAATATCTCGTGCAGGCGGGCCAATTGATCAAATTGGTGTCTATTAAAAGGAAGAAATAAACAAAAAAAAGTTGTATGATTAATTAAAAGTTTTCGTGCATACCGAAACACCAAATAAATTCTTTCCGAAACAAATATTATTTTGTAGAAAAATATAAAAACTGGCTTTTAGGAACTTTTGACCTATTAAGTAAAAGTTAATCCATTATTTGAAAAATTGTGCTTATTTGAAATAAATCGGTTTATTCTAAACATAAAAAAAAGCTTTGACTTTCATGTACAAATAATGGATTACTTTTTACTTGACCTATTATAATATTTTATAAAAAAATATTAAAATATTTGTATTCAGTTTTAAAATGACTTTTATGGCTTTAAATTAATAAGAGTTTTTGAAAGTATTTTTCCTACTTTTTAGTAAAAAACTTTGAACTCTTTACATTAATTCAATACAGAAATTAGTTGTAAGGAAAATCATCATGATTAAAATTTAAAAGCCTTTTAAAAGGTTCCTAGTAGAGTGAAGTAATCATTGCAGTTCAAAAAATAAAAATTAACGTAGTTTTATCTTTTCACTTTTTAATCAACAAAAATATTTAGTTATCTTTTTTCTAAGAATCCAATCCAATCCACATAAAAACGTGTCCTTACTTAAAAAACAATTCAACATTATTTGAGAGTTCATTTTCATGACTAGCAAATAAAAATCTTTATTTTATTTTGATTAAATGATTAAATGTTCACACTCACCTTGCCCTCTCGCCGCATTCGCTGAAGGATTCACAGGCCATGTTGAAGCTGGAGACGAAGGATATGTTGTCCGTGTGACTCAGAGCAGCCAGGGGATGAGCGCCGTGGTCGTGATCCCGATCCCTGGCCATGGTCCTGGCGATCTCCTCCTCCGTGACCTGCAGGCCACAGTCGATGCTCCGTTGCGAGGGATGATGCGAGGAGGAGGCCCTACTGGCCACCAGTTCAGCCTCGTGGAGCTGCTCCCTGGACACGTGCCTCGACAGCATCCTGTGCAGGTTGTCCTGTGATATATCCCTGGAGCCCAGGGGATCGTCGAGCAATGGAAGAGCAGGAGGAACCTCCGAGGGACCGCTATCCTCGTCCTCATCTCCATCAGGAGGAGCGGGATCCAAGAGGGGAAGGCTCTCGAAGCACGGCTGATTGAGATCCAAGGAGGGCTCCGGATTGAAAGCGGGTCTGTCCGGCAGATCCAGGGACTTCTGCTTCAGCTGCGACAGTTTCCAGTGCAGAGCCGTGGGCGAGTTGCTTGCGGAGACTGTACTTTGGAAGACTTGCGTGGTCTGGTTCTCCACCCACTGGCGAATCATGGTCTTCTTGTGGGCGTCCATGAATCCGTATCCCTGCGTCTGACTCGCTCCGGCTGCTGGCAGATTTCCGGCTGTCAGGGATCTGCAGGATTGCGACTTTGGGCCATCCACCCAGGTTTCGCACTGTTTCACGTGATTCACCTCCCGCATCAGATGACGTGCCTCTGCCACTTTGGCCCGGGAAACGCGCGGTCCATCGATCCACTGCTCCTCGGTTATTTTCCTCATTCCCGCCTCCAGTTGTTCGAGTGCCGCTCCCGGATGAGCTCTTCGCATGGGCGATCCCTTGGGAGAGGGCACCATCGATCCCTTGGACACCATGTGCCGGGGAATCGGAATGGGCGAGCCCATGGCCTGCGGTTGCTCGTGGGGAATCAGCGGCGAGGAGCAGGCTCCCGCTCCCGCCTGTCGCTTCAGACTGCCTGTGTTGCTCCCCGGCAGCTTTTTGGCTAAAAATGTTTAGATAGTACCGAAATAATTCCTTTAAATTTATTATTACTTTAATTTTCATGAAAATATAGTAAAAGGTAGACTTCCGCATGAGTGAATTATAACCTTTAACAGCTTTTATTTCATGTTAAAGGAAAGTTTTTGTAAAATTAAAAAGGATTTGTGTACCTTAAATTCTTCTTCAAAATTAACTTTAACCAAGAACTATTTAATTTTACAAAAATTGTCCTATTAGGAATATACCCTCGAACTTTAAAATCGTGCGACAAGTTAATATACTTTACGTCTAGGGAAAGTCTAGGACACTTTCGTTAAAGGAAAGGATAAGTACTTATAGAGTTTTAAAAATAAAAATCTTCAAATATTTTTGGGGCACCTTTACCTAGTTGTTCAAAATTTTTAAATTGTTTAGCAAGTTATATAAAATCTTTTTAGATTTATGAGACCCATATAACCAAGGTGATGAAAATTCTTTGAAGTTTTATTAGAAGGCACCGTTAAATATTTTTGTGCTTTGTAGCTAATTACATCAAATCTGAAAAGATTTCAGTTGCACCCCTGACTTAATTGTATCAAAAATTACATTCTAATACCATGCCGTTCTAATAAAAATTCCATTCTATCTCCTCCACTCACCTTTCTCCGCTGCCATGGCCTTCTTCATCATCATGGGGCTGTTGCAGGCTGACTTCGAGGGGGGTTTCTCCAAACCACTCCCCTTGAGGGCCTTGCTCATCACCCCGCGATTGTCGCCCGCACTCAGCGATGGCAGATATACGGGCGGATGTTCCCCATCCGTGGCGTCGTCATTGGGTCCCAAGTAGATGACTGTGTCGGCGGAGATTTCCGAACTCGATGGATCTGCCCCCGATCCCGCAGAGGAGCCATTGCCGCCGAGTCCTTGGGCCAAGCCCACGGCCAGGGGCATGGGAACCCGATGCTTCCGGCGACGCAGGCGATGAATTCTGGATGCGATTTGAATCGTGGAGAGGGCGTCCTGGTAGCTTTGCTCCGGCCGCACATGGGCCACGATGGCCACATGGCAGGTGATGGGGGCCAGGCAGTCCTTCAGCAGCGGGGTAAGCGGGTGGTCCTTGTGTGGGGGATGTCGCTGCCCCGAAAGAATCGCCAGCAGTATGTTCCCGATCCCCGACAGCGGCAATCCCCCGCTGCGATTCGCACACCCGCCCAGGTCGATGATATGTAAACGGCTCCGACCGCCAGCAACTGCACAGGGGAAAAAAATATTGGAGGAGAAATCAGTTTGAGATTTAACAAATGGTGAAGTAATTACTGAGAAATTATATATTCAATTTATATTTTGAGTAGATTTAAATGATAAACGTTATAAATTTTTCAAAAGATTTAATGTGTTCTTTTTGTATAAATTTCAAAATATTATGTAAAAACTGAAACTGAAAATAACTGATTTTAAGGTTTGATTTATGTTGAATATTTATGCCAAGAAACAAAGTTTATTATTTATAGATATTTATTAATATTATATTAAGGTTGTAAGGTCATAACTCTGGATTCAGGAATTATACATTAGGAGTGTGTAAAAATACAAATTTTGTTTAATCAAAGTTCAGCCAACTTTGACATGGGTTAAAATTCTATTTATATCCTGGCAAAGCTTTTCTAAAATCATTGGGCGAAATGGAAGCGACAGTTTGTTCTATTTTTCTCTCTGTTTGCATAGAAGGGAAGTGGGTGGGAGTGGGTTTAAATGGGGGTTGGGTAGTTGGTCGGTCGTTGGGTGTTAGAGTGGAGGAAATGCGACACTTTAATGGCGCTGCCGTCTAGTGGTAGTGAAGCATTTAGCGGGCCACTTGAGTGGCAGCAGCAACAAAAGTGGCAGCAACAATAGCAATAACAAGAGTGAAAAGAACAGTTCGGAAACCGAAGAATAAAATACACTAGTTCAGCAAAACAAATATCAAAATAAATACAGGATTTGCTGATTGTGAAATGGTTTTAGAGAAATCAATATGAAAAGTGAAATTCTAATCCATAATCACTTAAATGAATTAATACGTTGACTAAGAATTGTTAAACAGAGGTTAAGTGATGATGAGTGTTTCCTAATTGTCTTATAAATAAAACTTAAAAACCGTTGCTGATCTTTTTGTTAATATTGAATTCTAGAGATTTCTGAGATTTAAACACTGTTTTAAAGGGAATAAAGTTATTGTTGTTTTAATGCATTTTCTACACATGTATTCCTATATTTGCACAGACATTAACTGGTTAAAATCTCATATTTCTGCCTATCACAATACAGGCAATATTTTGTGGCTAACTTAAGAATTGAGTTATGAAAGTTCAACTATATTTCATCTAGATTTTCACCTGTGTTTCAGCGGGTATTAACTGCTACAAACTTGGCATTCCCGCACATCATAACGTTCATAACACCCCCTTTGCAGGGCATGGGCGCAACAACCAACAACAATAACAACAACAACAATAGTGTGATGGACACTTACCACCTCCCTTGCGGGACAGGCTGTACTGGTAGACGTGCAGCGTGAAGATGAGGGCGGACTCCAGGGGGGTGGCGGCACATCCCGAACTCCCCGAACCGCCCGAACTGCCGGATCCCGTGGAAGCGGAACTTTTTAAGCGTCCGGCGAGCGCCGAGTCGAGGAAGAGAGCGGCACGCTCGGCGGTGGGTGCACGTAGTTCCGTTGGACCGCCAAGGAAGTCGTCACGCAAATAAATCCCCGGGGAGTCGTCAGATTCTGTGTAGCCGTAGTTGCCGTTGTTGGAGTCGGAGTCGTTGGAGTCGCAGAATGAGCCGGAGTTCCAGTATTGAGACCGAAAAAAAAGAAGTAGCGGGGAGTGAATGAAAAGGGCATTAGGTTTTATGTGGGAATAAACGCCGTATTCTACGGGGAAGTGCGGATGCCAATGCGGATGCCAATGCGGATAAGCGGGGGTGCGGGGGGCGGATGTTGATAATGGAAGAGGGGTTGAGGTGTCGGAACTGCTGCCCAGGTTAAGTTTATTCAAATTGGGCCAGTTACGACCCCGACCCGCCCCAGTCATCATCATCATTGTTTGGCCCAGGGGCAACATTACGCCATGCCACGCCCCCTGCTCCCTGCTCCCGCCCACCAAGGAGCCATTTATCCTGGCGGCGATTCAGCCCGCTGGCAGCTAACAGGTGGACCAGCAAGCTGCGAGGCCAGCGTTAACTGCCCGGAATTAAAGATAAAGAGCTAAATTAAACGGAAACCAGCTGGTCTTTCGAATGAAAGCAACTACAAATTGTACACCTGAATAATATTCTATTCTGTTTATTTTAATAATTTACTTTAGGTAATTAAGTTGCCTTATAACCTTTTGCCTACTGGTACTAACCAGTACTGCATTGCATCGCTTTAATAACATAACAACAATAACATTTTATAAATGCTTTCTAATAAATTTAATATGTGCATTGATTACTTTAAAAATGTGTTTAAAATTTATTGAAATAAAATATATAGCTACTTTAGAAAATAAACTAAATTCTGTGCGTTATTAAAAACTTGTAAATATGATGCTGATTTTAGATTTCAATTTTTTTCGTTTAGCTTTATTTTGTGAACAGCCATATTCTTTATTATTTGTAAGTCTATTCCTGTTTAAATTAAACTCGTTGAAACGTAAGACATTTTTTCAAATCATATACATATTTCTGTACATGTTCTTCTAATGAATTTTAAATCTTTATAAACCTTTTATCATTCAAATGGAAAACAACACATGTACGAACTAGACTTGTGTAAGCTTGAATGAAAAATGCAGCTGGTTTTTGGTTTGTATAGTATTGTTGCAAATGAAATAGTTGACCTGGAAACACTGTGGTATGTCTCCCTGCTTCCACATCCCCCTTCCCCTGCTGAATGCTTACCGGCTGCATGTGAGATGAGGAGATCCTGGGACAGAGCATCCGGCTTGGTGGCACTGACACCCACGGCACTCACCCGCACCGAGAACCGCGCCCCGCTCTTCTGCCGCCGCTCCTGGATGCCCTTGTAGAGCCAGGCGATGGCACAGGGGGCTGCTCCCAGGGAACACGCCCCCCCACTGCCACTGGCATTCCCACCTCCGCCTCCCACCTCCCCCAGAACCGTTTGGCCCTGTCCGGTGGCGGGATATCCCATGGCCAGCAGGCAGCCATCGGATCCTTCGAGCACGGCGGGTATCACTTCGCTTAGCGCCGATGCACACACATCCGACTGGAATATATACGATACACAGAGAGAAAATATTACTGAGTTAATAATTTAATGGGTACCTTTACATATCAATAAAGTTGGTAATTCCTTTCTTTACGGTAGTTCTAATATTTATTAAGTACATTTAAGCTTGAATATTTCTTATTTAATTAGTTTGAGCTAATGAAATATGGTTTTTTTTTATTGATTTCTTCTTGGGATATAATTCAAATTAAGTTTTTCACAACCTCTCTTTCATTAATAAATTCCATAAACCTGGAAAGTTTTATTATAGGCTTAAGAATTTTTGGCCTTGTTCGTATCTTTGAGTCTCGAAATTATTCAAATTTTTTTTCAAAATTTTTTGTCTTTTATATTTAGAGCTTTTTAACTTGAACTTCATAATTTAATTATTAATTGAATTACTTCAAAAATAACTGATCTTTTTTGTAATATTTAACTCGTTAAGAAACGAAACTGTTTTTTTTTTTGATAAGAAAACATAAACCTTCCATTTCCACATATGATATGAGTTTCTCGCAGTGAAATAGAAATGGAGTAGGTGTGGACTCGAGGTCAGTGGGTGGTGGCCAACAAGGCATACTAATGGGCTCCCCTTAATGGCTGGAATTGGGTTCGATTGCGGGGTTAATTCGATTGCTGATTAGATCCGATGGGGAGGACAATGCGCGTATGTGTTAATTCTATTGGGGGTATTTCTTTCTTTCTTTCGGGCTGAGGGATTGCCTTATGAGTGATTGCACTTCAAGGGTCATAAATCTTCAAAAAAGAACTTTGCTTGCTCTGAATTATGAAGATTGATTATGGTATTTTGTGGTGACTTGTTATTCTCAAGAATTACTAACACCTCTTTTGTAATCTCATAACAAGTTAAATAGCACAACTTTGTGCCTGAGATGAGACATTTGTCTCCCTCCAAAATAATCCACGAAACACAAAGATGTTTGTCATTGTTATTTTCTTTTCCACAATAAGATTCTCACGTTCAATTAAACTTTTGTAATTGCAACTCAATATTTAGCTTTGGGAAACTTTTTCATTTGCATAGGGCAAATAATAACTGGAGAGGGTTTGAAAATTGTTGTTTATTTAAAAGGAAAAGTAAACTCTAAAAGTTGCAAGTTTCAAGTTACGTTGAAGTCTCGGAATTCACTGAAAATATTAATCTTTGTAGATGGGAAGGCCCACCGCAATGAATGGCTTTAAATGTCAATATTAAATGTAAACAGTGTTTTTACTAAGTTGACAGATGAGTGTTGAATTTATTAATTGAGAATTAATAGGCTATGATATTGTTTATTTACCAGTTGAGTATGTTTATGATAATTTATGTCAACATCAACATTAATATATTTCTTATCTTGACAACTGCTTTGTAATTAATAAGTTTGTAACTTAATTTTTTATAAAGATGCTTATTGCCGACATAAAAATCTCATAAAATAAAAAAAATATTTTTATTTGAAAAATAAAAAAATATAGGTGTTTTAAATTTTTTTTATGGTTTGCTGAAAATGTTAATTGATTTATATTAACCACTTCAGCCACAAAAAGAGGTTTTTATGAAAGTAGATTTTTGGCATGGTCATTATCTATATTCCAAATTGTATTTGATGCAAATTCTGTTTAAAGTTATTGCTGATGTGTTATGGATAGGTTTTTATTATACAATTACAGTTCTCCAAAGTGATAAAGAAATAAATTCTAATAAACCCTAAATGTTAGATAGATAGACAGACCCAATAAAATCAGACATCTGTAGAGATTTCCAATGACCATATATATTCTTTTCCGGAAACTCACCTGTTTGTCGTCGGCGGTGAAGAGGTTGTCGAATGCGAACATTTTGGGCGCGGCCACCATGGGCGCCCGTTCCTGGGCGGCTTGGGGCGGCGGACAGGCGTTCCTGGGATCGGTGAGCGTGACCTGTCGCTTCTTCCTGTCCAGGGCCATAAAGTCCGGCTCCGCTCCGGCGGAGTTCCTGTCCCGCTCCGCCACCCGCAGCATGACCTTCACCTTGCCCACGCCGTAGCACTCCCGGCTGCTCAGCCGGCGGATGAGGGTGGGCGGCATGGGGGGCGGGGCCCGCTGCAGTGCACCACAGAAGCCACCGTTCCGGGAGGGATTCGAGGTGCTGGTGGCCATGGTTCCTTGCTTATTGGTTGCCACAGTTGGTGGAAGTTTATTGCTGGAAGCACTTGCGTTTCCTTTTTTATTTGTTGGGAAAGGGAAAGGAGGGAAGACCAATAAAATTGGGAGTTAATAAGGGCCACCCAAAATCCTGGCTTTTGTTTTATGTTGGGGATCTTAAAATGCAATCGTCACTCCCCATAAACTTTGTTTGTTTTTTGGGGGTTTTATGGCTCTTTAAATAGTTGCCGGGCCTGTCATAAATTGCGATTTTGGTTCGGGCCGATGGGCATAAGTTATTTGGTGCTGCCGCCGAGAAGGGTCCTTCGGTAATGGCCATAACACTTTCGCTTTATGGTTATGGGCCATCTGTTTATTGGGCATATGCTTCACTGTACTATCATCACTATCACGCTCGCACTGTCACTAAGCTCGTGTTTTATTCACTTGTAGCATCTTGTGCATAAAATCAAATTTATGTTGAATTTTCCTCGCATTTTATGTTATGGTGGGAAATTATGCGCTTCACTGTCTTTCAAGTATTCCTTTGGGACAGTCGTACATATTTCACATCAGTTTAATTCTATTTGAAAAGTTTATGTGCATAATTTTAAGTTTCTTTTGGGTGCTCAAAGTTTGGAAGCTTCTACTTTTTCAATTTGAAATTGTTTGCTGAAGCTATAAAACAATGCTAGCAGAAAATTTATTTGTCTTTGTTACAGCCTTATGGCAATTAATTATTTTTGTTTGCTTTATTTGTATCTGTAACTTTTAATACATTTTATGTATATTTTTTAATGAAATTTTATTTAATTTGTTTTATCATTTTCTTAATTAGGGTTTCGTTTTAATATTTTAATTAATCTTAAATTAAATATCTTTCTTGCTTTTTAAGTTATATTTTAAAACGCTCTTTAGTAAACTTGAATTATTCATTATTTCTATTCTCTGAGGAATATGTTTAATGTCTTCAAAGTGTTCTTTGGGGATGAGCCTTCTTAGTCGTGTCACTCAAACTTTATTTAGAAAATGTTTAATGTGAATTTCCCCCAGAATGTCATGCTCAGGGGACATGCTCCTATAAAGCTTGTTATGTTTTGTATCACTGGAATGAATTATCAACTTTACTTGTTATGTTCAACTTTACTTTTGAGATATTCATGCAAATTCCACTGGACTTTTTCCTTTTACTTGTCAGTCGCGGGCCGTGACATTTCTTCAATGCCTTCATTATTATTTCAATTTGACTGGGGAAAACGTGACATTTTTGCAACGTCTTTCATTAATATTGTCCCCCCGATTCGCAGTCCCATTTCCCCATCCCCAACCACATTTCTCGGCCTCTTCTATATTGCCATTCCCTTTGAATGACAGGCAACAACTTCGGGTCGGTTCAACTTCATTTTTCAGACTACGCGCACCTGCCAACTAAAAGGGAACTTCTTGGTAGCTTGGTTGGCTTTTCCATTCTTTTACATGGGTATTTCCTTTATTTTTTGCCTTCCTGGGCTCGTTTTTTATATTGGGGATTGGCGTCGTCCACCTTTTGAGTTTTAGCTTTGGCTTTTCACACAAATCGATTGGCAATGCCTTCTAATTGTACACAACGCACAATAGGGGAGTCTAGCTGAAGTCAGGGGTTAAGGGTCCTGTGCGGGGGGTTAAGGGATTTCCCTTTTGGCACAACACACACACAAACACTAGCATACACTCGCACGCAAACACACACACGAAACAGGAACAAACACAAACCCTTTTTTTATGACTGGCAATTTCTCGCTGTTGATTTCATCTTTGGCTCAACTCCTTCGACTTTCCGAATTGCCTCGATTTCCTCGCACATGATTTATACTTGATCCAACACACTGGGATTTTCCCCGATTTCTCTGCGATTTTTGTTGTGTTTCTTTGGTTGGTTTGTCACTTCAACGAATAAAAAAACCCGCGAGGCGAGAAAGCCAAACGCGTGCCGACTGCGTTGGCATTACAATGGCAACTGAAGTCGGGTTTCCTTGTTGGGCTTCGGCTTGGTCTCGAATTTCCCAAGAGTTTTCCGCCTCTCTTTGGCGCAGGCGTGCCACAAAAGAAGAGCGAAAGTCCGATGGCCACGCTTCAATCCAGACCCCAAGGGTGGTCGGACTTTCACTCTTTCACTCTCTTCCGGAAAATCTCTTTCTTTTGGCCAACGACAGCTTTGAGGCTCAGGTAAACAAAATCAGCGAGGCTAAAACAAAAGGAACAACGCAAATGATGTTTATATTGTAGACATCGAATTGTTCACTGGATGCGGAACATCAAAAATAGTGGAGTACCTCGTTCTTAAATCTAAAGTTATAGAGCCTGTCATTTTATAAATTTAAAATGTTATTTAGCATAAAAATACATATATAATATTTTAAAGAAAAATTATTTTTAAGCTTGTCAGTTGATCTTTTCTTTAAATTAGGTAATTGACGAGTTTATAAGTTTAAAATACAAAACAATAAATACATATCATTTTTTTTTTTCTGATCCTTTAATAGATGCATGTAAAAGGTATTGCTTTCTTAGCCAAGATAAATATCAAATAAGAAAGTATTCATATATGCTACTGTATTATTTCTGGGTATAATGTATAAGTCGCTGATATATGTTGTTCACAGAATAAAACATGAGGAAATTAAAATTTGTTTACAACATTTTCGAAAATGGTGTGTTTACAATATTTTTAATTTTATGCATTTTAAGAGCATTTAAAATAACTTGAAAACACAAGGTCATTGCACCCGTCTTTATATCAATTTTTATTGCTGTAGCTTTTAGGGACTTCAGGATCCGATGGCACAAATACAATATACCTTTTTTCTGCGTGAGTACCTGGAATAAAAAGAATAAGAAGGCACAAACAACATATGAACACGGTGATAGTTGAGCTGCTGGAGCGTCACTTAAGTGCCGCTTGGAGTTGCTGCTGATGGAGGGGGGTTTTCATGGGTGGAGTGGTCGCAGGGAGGGGGCTTTTCGGATGGATGGTACGAGGGGCTGTGAGTGGGGGCCAAATGCAAACGATGTGTTTTTAAGTTCGCTTACATTTGGCAGGCTCGTGAAGGAGCCGTTGAGTGTGTGTTCGTATTTAAAAGCATGTGTGCCTGGGAATGGGTGGGGTTTGTCCGGATTTACCTTTACCTTTATTTTCCATTTTTTTCCACCAAGTGGACAACGGCAACGGCTCAATTAAAGTGGCCCATGTTGATTGCTATTAAGGTGGCTGCAGCAAAACTGCAGTAATCCAATCCGCTTTAAAAGTGTTTCGTTACTAATTATCATAAAACTTGAGCGAAACTCTGTGAAAAACGTTTTCCGCATTGGGCAAATCAAATTTTATGCAATCCGAGCGCCAAAAAACAAAACAAACACAAGAAACCGAGATTATGTCCAGTGAAAGGAGAAACACAGTTTGGGAAGCACTTTCGTATAGTTTGCCGGTACTTGGGTGCGCCATCTAGCGGATGAGCTTCAGGTGGCAACGCCAAACGCGTTACAGTTTGAAACTTTAATCAAAATACATGAAGTTCGTAAGCAGTCTGTAAAACAATAAAAATTTGTTTGACTTTGCAAAAAAACTTGAAGTTTAAAGGGAATACAGAAAAGAAGAAACAAACATTTAACTGCGAGAATAAAACATTATTAAACTGTGTATTTATATAAATAATAACTATGTAATAATATATTATTATTTGTTAACCAAAGCTTACAATTTTTTTAGATTTTACTTAACGTTTAAGTTGTTGAAAATGATTGCTTTTTTTTGTATATAACCTATAAAGCTGTTTGGAAAGACTAAGAAAAAAAAGGAAAGAAGAAGCTAGCTTCCGCGAGCCGAAGCAGTTATTAAATATGTATGGCGAAGAAAATATTTAAAGGCTAAACAACATCGAAGCTATTACGAGTTTCCATTAATTTTCTATATTTTCGACGATTGTTCATATGCCAGCTATATGATAAAATCCTGCGTAATTCAAGATTTGGTAGAAAATTCTATATACAGTCGTATCCCGATAATTCGTACCCCGTTAAACAAAAATCGCGATATTTCGTAAAAAATTCTGTTCCCTTGAAAAAAAATCCCTTGAAAAAAATCTCGATAAATCGAATTCCCGTCTAATTCGTAAAAAAAGTGATCCCCTTGCCATTTCGAATTATCGGGACTCGACTGTACCAAAAATCGTACTCGTCTACACCTTCTGCAAAGGTTTAATAAGTAAACAAAATAATTCATATTTTCAGTTGCATGAGGCGAAGGGTTGATAGCTTTTAATAATTGCTAGGGAATAACGTAACTCCGTTTCGTTTGGTATTTTTCCATTTTCTTATCTTTAAGGTGGCAAAGCCAATTGGATAAACTAAAAATGTCATTTTTTGCCTAAAGGCCTTCCTCTGCCGGTAGTAAAAACATTGCAGTTTTCAATTCCAACCAAGCCAGTCGAGATGTTCACCAAGTGCTTTCTTCTGCTATCAACACTCAACTTCCTGTCCGCAGGAAGAGTTCTCCAACCGGAAGAGCGCATCATCGGCGGAGAAGATATTGAAATAGAAGAGGCTCCGTGGCAGGTGTCCTTACAGTTTCGAGGACATCATAAGTGTGGAGGCTCAATTTACAGCAGGGACATTATCATCACTGCTGCCCATTGCCGCTTTACCAAAGAAGGAAAACAACTTGAAGCCGAAGACTTCCAAGTTCGCGCAGGCTCCTCATGGAAAAATAGCAACGGGATTTTCATCCAAGTTGAGGCAATTAAATCCCATAAGGAGTATAAACACGATTTACTCGGACCCGACATTGCTGTAATGCGACTAAGTGAGCCGCTTGGGTTCTCCAGTGAAAGTAACACTTGTTAAAGGAGAGTTTAGAAAGGAATATCCCGAACATCTTCAAGGCGCAGACCTTCATATAGAAGGTTTTTCCCAAAAAAAATGAAACCATTTATGCCTATCGTGTTGGTCAATCGAGTTGCTCTGGCGACTCTGGTGGAGCTTTGGTTGTTGACCAGCAGCAGGTCGGTGTTGCTGCATGGGTTCCAACTGATTATTGCGAGGGTAATGTAGCCTTCGCAGGTGTCCCTTACTTCCGCAACTGGATTTTAAATGCCATTGAATCTTTTTGATCTTAACGAGGAAAATAAATAACTTGCTTAAGAAAATGTATACCTGTTTTATTTACTATGTTAATCAGTTGCTTGGGGAGGGGAATCGATTAGTTTGTAAGTCTCCAAAAGTCTCCATTGAAGTTATAAATCAGCTTTTTTCAGTTCCTTATTATCATGTTTTTAAATGGTTGGGATAAATCCATAAAGCCAAATATCTTTTTGAAGCCAATTAACATTGCAGTGACAGTTTGTATCCAACGGAATGAACAAATCTGGCAAGGTATATAATCGCTTTCTGCTCTCTATCGTCACCTCGATCCCCTCCAAAAAGATACCGAAAATAATCGCCGGAGGGAAGACCGAGTTCATAGCTTCGGTTCTCTGGCAGCCTGCCCTGAACTTATATAATATACATATTTGCGGTGCAGTCATCTACAGCGAAAAGATCATTTTAACGACAGCTCACTGTGTCTCATCGAATTTCAATGACGGTGGTCAGTCGGTCAAGTCTTCGTAGATCCTTACCCACGAGAACTATGATGATGATGACGACGATTGTCCTTGTGACAATCTCCAAATGGGTGACAATGTGAAATCCATTCCCTTGGCCGACATTGCTCCACTGCCATAGAGGCATAAAGCAAAATTCAAAAGCTGAAACCATTTATTAACATACTTTTATTTTTCACAGGTTATAAGACTACATCTCAAAATATAGAAGGGTTATGCATGGTTAGAAATAGAAATTTGTTAAATCAGTAATAAATAATAAATTCTAAAAATAAGTAAGTAAACACTTAAAGTTTCTAGTTGCATGAGGCCAATGGTTGTTCCTATAAATAGTTTTAAATAATTGCTGTGGAATAACTCAACTTCGTTTCGTTTGGTATTTTTTAATTTTCTTATCTTTAAAGTAAGTAAAACAAAACCAATTGGCTAAATAAAGAAAAGTTCAAATAAGAATGTCATTCTTGGCCTATAAAAGCCTTTCTCTACCGGTAGTGAAAACATTGAAGTCTTTAATTCCCACCAAGCCAGTCGAGATGTTCATCAAGTGCTTTCTTCTGCTGTCAGCAATCAACTTCCTGTCCGCAGGACGAGTTCCCCAACCGGAAGAACGCATCATCGGCGGAGAAGATATTGAAATAGAAGAGGCTCCGTGGCAGGTGTCTATACACCGACGAGGGAATCATATCTGTGGTGGCTCCATTTACAGCAAGGACATTATCATCACGGCTGCCCACTGCCGCTTTACCAGAGAAGGAAAACAACTTGGAGCCGAAGAATTCCAAGTGCGCGCAGGCACCTCATGGAGCAATAGCTACGGGACTCTCATCCAAGTTGCAGCAATAAAGTCGCACGACAAGTTCAGCAAAAAAACATATGCCAACGACATTGCTGTTATGCGATTAAGTAAGCCGCTTGTGTTCTCCAGCAAAGTGCAGAGCATTCGCTTAGCCGAAAAGAATCCGTCACCTGAAACTCCTGCGAAGACTTCTGGTTGGGGAGCAGTGAGAGTAACAGATTATCATGGAATCCCACTCCCGGAATCTCCGGAACATCTAAAAGGCGTAGAGCTTCTTGTTCAAAATTGCCAGAATTATCTTTTCACCACTGAGGATAACGTTTGTGTCGAATCTGATGGAAAATCGAATTGTAATGGCGACTCTGGTGGACCTTTGGTCGTTGACCAGCAACTTGTCGGTGTTGCCTCATTTACCCTGGGTCAATTATGCGACGGATTTGTAGCCTTCGCAGGTGTCCCTGCTTTCCGGAACTGGATTTTAAATGCCATTGAATCTCTTTAAAGGTGCATCTTAAAAAAAACCACAAGAATATGTTCCACATTTTTGAATGAAGGTTGAATAAAAATGTTTATAAAGAATAAAGTAAAACAAGGTTTTCATTTAAATTTTCTTAAAAATAACTTTTATAAGTAGAATTTTAAAAGGTCATAAGGAAAGATTAAAATTGTGTATGTAACCTATTTTATATAAGTAAATTGAAAAAAAATATAACAGAATGACCGACAGACGTATCTGTACGTCTAGTTAGATCCAGATTGTGATGCTGATCAAGAATATATCTACTTTATGGGGCTTGAGGTGTCTCCTTCTCTGCGTTGCAAACTTTAGACTTAAAATACAGTACCCTCTGAAAGGGTATAATAAACACTGGTAAATAAGAAAAGTCAATTGTTTTTACAGATAATTCGTTAAACTTTTATTTAGCCATTGATGTTTTTTGTTTTTCACATACATACTTGAGTATCATTACTTATCTTCATTTTTTTGTTGCTTTTCGATCGTTCCGCACTCTCTTTTCACAATCATAGAAGTAGAGTGCAGGAACTGCAATGTGAAATTGGTATAGATTGCCTAGGTGAAAATGCATTTGCGATGAAAATCATGTATCATGTATATACCGTTTATCGTTAATCTGGATCGATATTTCTATCGATAGTTAAGGCTAGTTCGCAGTGAGTGTATCGAGTGTGTTTCGTGTGAGTGTATAACGCATCGTTCGCTTAAAGAACTAATCTTAAGACTAAACAAACAATTTGAAACAAACAGCCTAGATGGAAAGCATACTTCTCGTACAATAGGTAGAAACAACTTCAGAGGTAAAAACTACTCATATGCGAATATGAGTTTTGGGGGGGCTTAGATTGGGGGTTTTTTCGTTGCTTGGTAAACTTTGTCACGCGTTAAAGTCGTTGAAACAGAACATAAAATAATACACATAAGATATGCAGCTTGCCATGAGTTGGGTTGAGATTCGCAAATCGGAATTCAGGTTGGACTGGATGTGCTGGGTCGTTTAGTGCGAAGGTGCTCCATACGAGCTGCTGGGTGCGGAGGGTGCTGGCGGGGCAGCTGGGGCTCCGTATTCGGGAGCTGGTGGCGCCACACTGTTGGGATACGGACCAGTCTCCTCCTTCTGGGTCTTGTAGCGGATGAAGTACACCTCCGGCTTGCTGGGCTGAGTGGGCGCCGGAGTTGGGATGACGATCTCGGGCTGCTCCTCCGGCTTCTTGACTAGCACGTACACCAGCGTCTTCTCCTCGTTCTGCGGGAACTGCGGGATCACCGGAGCAGTTGGGGCAGGTGGCGACGGCGCCTTGATGAACACGATCTTGTAGTGCTTCTGGGGAGGGGGCACGTACAGGGGTTTCCTGGTAGGATAATTCAAGAAAATATGGAAAATATGAAATGGGAGCAAGAGAGGTAAAAGTACGTAAATAAATTGAGTATAATTTACAGGTATAAATAATTTTATATAATATATTTCATCTTTGGTAAGGAATGAACTAATATTGTGCAAAGTGTATTTTAAGTAATGAAATGATTCTGCTGCCTTCTTTTTATGGAACTCAAATATAATCTGTTTTCTATTACTTATACAAATCTTCTTGTATAATTAAATTGGCAGAAATTCGTATCAAAGGGGTTAGAAATATCTTTACGTTTTCTATGTTAAAAGTTTTGATACATACAGTTTGTATGTTGCTAAAAAATGTTTGCCTCTTTATATCAGCTCGTTTTCTGCTTCAACTTATTTATGTTTATCTTCCGACTACCAATTTCCATATGGGTGCAAGGCCAGGCGGTAATTGTTTTCCCCACTTCCTCATAGCTGAGGTCTCCCTGCATTCCGAATCGTGATGCTGGAGAAAGGAGTTTCACTTCGAGGTGTATGCAAATGACCTGCCCATAAATGGTGACCTCCCGAAAGTGGCGAGCCAAGTGCAGCTGCTTGTCGGTTTTGCTAATCGGATGAGGAGGATGACTATTATGCTGATGACAACGACTGTCACAACAATCGCCGCGAGACGAGGGTTTACATAAAGCTCCCTATGGTAATCGCGTTCCTGTCCCTCCGCGTCTGATAATTAGCTTGGAAATGCTACCGAGATGTACGCAAGTACTGCGGGGAGCTTAGGTAACATTTTAGTCACGGTTTGGCGATCTGCAGAGCCATATCGTTTCATTCCCCCCTGGAGGTAATTAACATTGCTTCCAACTCCAATTGAAAACAGCAGACGACAGAAAACTTTGTATCAGAGAAAAGAAAGAAATGTGTTGGATGGCAATGGCGATGGCTTTCGTTTTCGTTTTCGTTGGTATTAAATAATTTTCCTCCTTGTAAACGACCCTCTAAATACCCTGGAAATGAGGCAACAGCTGTGCAAAAGGGCCCTGAGCCGGATTAGATGATTGGCGTCGGGGGTCTTGCAACATTTGTCTAGTTATTATCTTTGGGAGTTGGCGGCACTAGTTGCTCTGCGGCGATGAATTGTGAGAGAGTCTGCATAAGTGCCGTGGATTATATACTCATAACACAACAATGTGTTTTTCCTTCATTTTTTGCCAATCTTAAGTGGAACAAGACAAATAAAGCGAGATCGTTTGTAACCGCTCCCCAACACGCGAGATCAACAAACAGGGGAGACAGGTGAGAGGGGTGTGAATAATCTCAACTGATTTTCATGTGGGTTATTCTGACTATGGTTTAGTTAAACAACATTTACCCCTTTTTATTGAAGAAAAGTTTATTTTTCTAAGTTCTCAAATACCTCTATTTTATATCCAAACACAAGAATCTCTTTTCCCCAAATATGAAAAAAAGTTGCCACTAGCTAAGTTTCCGTATGTGAAACCCATTACACATTGGTCAAAATTAATATTTGGCTTTTCATTACAGCCGTGAAATTAAGGAAGACGTTAAAACTATCAAAGATTTTTAATGTTCAAGCTTTTGGTGCTATTAACTAGTGATTGCTTGGTTGTTTGATATATTACCAAATTACTCAAAGTTATTGTATCGGAGCCTATATAAAACAACTATAAAACTCGACTGAATGCCGGAACACAAAAGGTGTTTTCAATAGCTGTTCTCATAAATATATAATTTACTGATTTTAGGAAGATTAACTGATTTTATACAATATCAAACACCATAAAAACACCATGCATGATCAGACAATAACTGTCAGAGCTCAATTAAAACTGATTCTATAACTCAATTAAAACTGATTCTATAATATAAATTAATTTAGGTTTAAGATTTAGGAATCACTTCTAACTAAAGTCGTTTTTCTGTAAAAACAAATTTTTCTGAACTCTGGAAAATCTAGATCTACAAACTACTTTTTATTTATACTGGCGGATTGGAATGGATTAATATTTTTTTTGGGCTTTCGAAAAATTGTAGTCTGAAGGACACTAGATCGAGGTGCTTGGACTCACCTGGGTGCCTGGTACTCCGGCTCTGGTGGGGGAACGTGGACGTAGACGTGCTTGTGCACCACCGGCGGCTGCTGGGGAGGACCGTACTGGGGCGCAGGGGCGCCGTAGCCCCCGCTGGGTCCGCTGGGCTGGTAGCTGCTCGAGGGGGGCGCACTGTACGAGTCACGCGGCGGCTCGGGACGAGCGGCCACCAGCGAAGCCAGGCCTAGGAGGACCACCAACTGTGGACGAGATCGAGATGGAGAACACAATTTATTACGGGTACTTTATCACGGGAACTCCGTAGCTCGGTTGGTCACATGATCATACCACACAACTGGACTGCATTTTTGGGAGTCTTTAGTTTTTGGCTATATCCGTTTCGGGTTTTGTCACTTCGCCAGGTGGTTCGGTGCTACTGGTGGTTGGTGGTTGGTGGTTACTAGTTACTGGTAACTGGTGATGTGGTGCTGCTTCGACGCGGAACCTCTTACTGCATGCCACAACGATTGTTGCAGTTTCTTTTATAGCGGCGCAGCGCGTGAAATAAAAATTAAGTAAAATTCAAGACGACGACCAAGAGCGCTGCTTCTGCTTCTGTCGCCGCAGTTGGCTGCGCAGACGCTGCCTGCGTCGACGCCGGCTGAGCAGTTGGCAAAGAGCGGCTCGTAGCCATGAAGAAATTGAAATGTTTAAGCCAAGTTTACCGCGGCCACCAGTTGGCCAGTCATCTGGTGGGGAAACTGAGGCTGCAGCTCCTGCGACGCCGACTGCAACTTCAACTGCAACTGCAACTGCAAACTGCAACATTTGCTGACCGTTTCTTGGCTTTTTGGGTTTTCCTTCTTCGATTTACTGCTTCTTTTTTTTTTTGTGGTTTTTTATGTGTCGTGGTCGAGTCTTTTTTTGGGGGCAACTAGGATTATTTTCAAGGGGAAAATAAGGAACTCGAAAGGTTCATTGTGTTTACAATTTAGCTGGAGGCTGGAGATACAATTTCAGCAAGGCCATCAAATTTGTTTATATGGTTGTTGTTTTCGAAACCCCTCAGCAACTGATACAACCAGAAGTTTTATTTAAGGGTCAATTAACTTCAAGGGAAGGAAATATAAGGTTTTATGGAAGGTAGTCAACTTGAAAGGGTCATCTGCCTACATAAAGATCTCCACGACCGAAAATAATATATATTTTGTATTTGTCAAAACAACGTGTTGTTAAGTAACACCAATGCTGGTAAGTTGTATTTAAAAAGAAAATACTATTTTTACTCTGAGGTCATTACATAAAAAATATTATTTACGTTTATATTGGTTTCTTGAAAAGGTTTTTTGTAAAAAACGAAACTTCTTAATAATATATAATAATAAGTTTAAAACAACGGAAAAGATTTGTCTTTGTAAAACGTTTTTCACATTCCATTTTTTGTATTTATGTTTTACGAGGTTTCGCTGTTTTCTTGATAACATAAATAATGTTAAAATGTTATAATAGGGTTTAAAAAACGTTCTTAAAAATACGTTTTCTTAGAATTTTTGTAATGCATTTATACAGTCTCTTTTATGTATTGTAAGTTTATAAAAGCTTTATAGATGAGGTTATTAAATTGAGCTATTATCTTTATGCATCTTTATATACCTGTGAAAAGATTTCCCCCTTAGAGTATTTGTCTTTCGAACCTATAGCCAAAGACAATTGCCCCTTTCTTGCATCTCTCAGTTTTTTTTTCTTATTGCATTATTATATATGTGGTTTCTGTGGATAAATTGTTATTTTGGTCATTTGGAGGATCCAGTCGCAGTGGACTCGTAACCAAGTCTGGACTCCGAATCGGATCGTATCGGATCGGATCGTGTGGCACGATTCACTTTCAATTTCAATGGATGTGGATGTGGATATTCACTCTCATTTAGCTGGCGATTCGGAGAATGACTTGGATTGGGAATGGGGATGGGGATGGGGGTTAGGTTTTGTGCTCTGGAGTGGGACTGAATCTGGTGTTGGTTTTATTTCATTTCTTCATGCTCTTTCGGCCTTTTGTTAGCCAGCTTCTTTCTGTCTTTCGGCCCGCTTGTTATTGTTATTGTTACTGTAACTGTTATTGTTATTGTTGTTGTTGTTACTGGTTTTGTTGGCTTTGTAATTGCTGTCCGCGTTTTGGCCACGAAGCTTCATAATGAGCTTCACGCTCTTGTTGGGTCGCCCCATCTCCATAAGCATTTTATTTAATTTTTCACCTCTTGTTTTTTGTTTTTGCAATATTTTGAATTTCTTCAATTTGTTTTTGCTTTTTTTTTCTTTTTGGTGTTTTTTTGTGCTGTTTGCTGGTAAGTTTTGCTGTTGTTTTTGGGGTATTTTTCTTATTTAATAATTTACGCCCCGGCCATGACAATTTGCGTTAGAGAAGACTGATGGAAAAAATTATGATTGGCAAAACGTTTCGCAACTTTTCCATGGCTCATAACCCCCAAAGCTATGATTTGCTTGCTTTTTCCCTGATTTATGCACATAATCTATAAATGGCAATCAGCATTTTTGCATCGATTGCGGGCGATCCTTGGTCGCATTTTGTGGCCACTCCCGCTCAAATGCTGCCGGAATTTTGTGAAATGTCATAATCCAGTGGCCAGTGGCGCCAAACGGAGGACGACACCGCACAGAGCGGCGGTATTGCAACTGCAACTCGCAACTGGCAACCTGCAACCGTTGAGATTTTCAACTGGAGAGCCAGAGACTGTCACTTTTCCTCGATGGCATCATTTATAATGCCGTTAGCCAAATGGCGGGCCGTGTTGATTTTGTTGTTCATCTTCGGCGACTGCACTTGCTGCTCCCCTCTTCACGGATTGCATTTCCTTAATTTTCCACGCTCATCTTTCACATTCAAAACCGTCGTCATCATCGTCGTCGTTCGTTGGTCGCGCCAAATTATGCTGCATTCACGATGCTGAAACAGGTGCAGGTTCATCTGTGGTTAGTCCGCGTCCTAGGGCAATTTCCCCCTGATTTCCCGATGCAAATATCCGCGAGATATTTTCCTCACGACAACCCTTGACCCATTATTTTCCTCAGCAGAAAATACAGAAGCGGAATAATTACGCACGATCTCGTAACATAATAAAGCCACATCAAATTTATAAATCAATGCAACAGTTTTTCCTCTGAAGTAATTTGGCTAAAAGCAAGAGAAAATAAATCAATATAATTGTACGACTATCATTTCAACTAAGGCAAATAAACCGAACCATTTTATGTTTATTGCGTAAAGCCTTTTCAACGTAAAGTGTCTTATTTTATGCCTGTCAGACAGGAAACATAAATGTTAAAGTAAATTTGGTTTATTAACAGGTGAGCATTACCCAAAAGACATGGTTTAATTATAAAAGCATTTGCATTTAGTCAAATTTATCATAAAAGATTACTTGATGTTAGCCTGAGGTATTGGATTTGATTGATTTAATTAAAACCACCGATCAATTTATTTCGCCATTCAGTATTTTCTTTAAAATTATTTAGTAAAAAGGAATGATGACAACAAATTGTGTGTATTAAATATGTATGCTCCGAATTAATCAATCTTTTTAATCTTTTCGGCTTATAAATAATACTGCAGATACATTATGCAGATATATTATTCAATATATATACAAACATAAATTAAGCTTTTTAAATTTAATTTTAATAAATATATAAAACTAGTAAACCCAGCGAACTCCGTTCCGCCACCAGATGGCGATAGTTTTAGGTAAAACTTCGTTTGGTGTTTAAAAGATAAAGAACATTTTTTTTGTTTTATATATGAAAAGGAAAAATTTTATTTCGATACCATTAAAACTTTGGCCATTTCCGAGTGTTTTGCAATATTACACGTTGGTTCTTCAATAATTTGAAGATTTAACGGTAATTTTAATGCTGAATGAGCCGTTTGGCATCCTTCTAACAATATGGCTGCTATTCCCGAAGAAGCAACTGCAATAGCTATGTTGGATCTCGCCCGAACAGTTGCTAAAGCTAATGACATGAGGAATGTCTTGCCAGTACCACCAGGGGCATCTAGGAAATATAAACCACCTTTTTCTTCATCGATTGCCTTCATTAAAATATCATAAACTTTCTTCTGTTGTGAATTCAACAGGGGTACATTTGTTTGAACTAATAAATTTAATTTCTGGTGATCATATTCACGTTCCCGTTCTTATTCTCGATTAAATTCATTCACGATTTGGCGCTGGCATTTAACCTGATTAATATATAACCGCACATGAGGTAACACTTATCTTTGATCAAGAGTAAAACCCAATAATGTATCTCCTCATTCATCAAATTGTTCACAATCAGGATGGAGACTTCGTCTATTGTTGGAGCATTAAATGTCCTTTCGTGTGTTCCAGATGGTCGTTTATCTGCTTTTATGACAACTTTATAGTCATCATTTGGCATGCGCTCTAAAGCACTCTTAAACAACCTGACCATCGCATGATGTTCATGAAGCAGACACTGCAAGTCTTGAAGAATTGCTCGCTTCATCCCTTCATTGATCGCTAGACGTCGATCAAGTTGTTCTTTCATGTTGCCCATGAAATATATTTGTAAAAAATTTTTTTGTGTATCTTCGAAAGGTAGTAATGATCCAATTCGATGGTGAATCTGCCCTTGTATCTAAGATAAAGTAAGTTATTCTTTAACTATATTCTATGTAATACAAACAAAAAAAAACCTTAAATGTCGGATTAAATCCTCGTTCTTCGATAATATCTGCCCCAAATGACGTCATTTGGAAACAACCATTGTATTTTCGGGTATTTGCAAGAAAGTGGCGTGATTCTTGTGTTTCACCACAAAGCAACGAATACAATGGCTCAGGTGGCGGAGTCAACAATGGCAATTTAACTTTACCATTAAAGCAGCATAATCCAGGCGTTTCTCCGGAAAACTTCAGTGCACCGCAATACTCGCAAACAACGTCCATTTGCCCAATGCAAACGCTAGGATGCAAGCTGTAATCAGTGGTGCTATCGTATTGAAACGCTGCTCGATTCAAATCAGCACTTGATAAATTTCTTCTGCGTCGCAAATGATCTATATCTTGACCTCTGTTGTAAGCTCGACGATTCTGCATTATCAACCGAGCCGTATTACGGATTGCCTCTCTTTGCTCTGCTGATTGAGAAGCACGAAGCCGACCCATACTAACGCGGTTCTGTTCACGTTCAATGTTTTGTTCTTCTTCAGACCTTCCATTTGCAGTATTTCGTAGTCTTCTTGCATTACGGCTTTGTCGGGAAAGATTCGATCGTCTTGGTCGCGGCATTATTAATTAAACTTCACTTCACTTCAATTCACAAAAAGCACGAAAAACTTCACTTCACTTCAATTCACCAAAATCACAAATAATTTCAATTCACTTCAAAAAAATTGAGTTAAAATGCTATGGTAGTGTGTGCTTGTCAGTGTGATGAGGTAATAACTCAGTTTATATGCGATTTTTGGTATGTCGAACGGAATAAAAAGTACCCTAAGTCCTATTCCGGGCTCTAAGCTACCCTCCTACCAATTTTCAGCCAAATCTGTTCAGCCGTTCTTAAGTTATAAGTGGTGTAACTAACACAACTTGCTTTTATATATATAGATTTTATATCTGGTTTATAGAAGAATTAATTTTGGAACTTTATAAGCTTAATATTTCATTATAATACCATTTCGAAACGATTTACACATTCAGATGTTTTCAACCGTATCAAGCCATCATAAATCCCGCGGATACATTATGCATTCTGGGAAATCCCCTCATTTGAGGGATACATTTCGCTAGCGATTGCGCGAATTATGCGTGGCACATTGCCAGATCTTAATGAATTCGCCATGCCACAGCGATTCTGAGCCATATAATCAGCGTCGCATTCGCCCATTCATCTTTCTGCTTTCTCCGTGGCCTCAACCGAGTAACACAGTTCCCCATAAGTCCCCCTCCTCCCCCTCCTCCCTCTTTTTTCCCCCCCATACAACAGACCATTTAAAATCCAGCTACCAACTCGCTGCCATCTACACCTCGGCATGCACAGATACTAATTATTATATTGTATCTCTTATGAGCTTATGTAACCGACAAAAACAAAGGCAGACGGAACCATTTAAATGATATTATATTTACATAAAAAAAACAAAAAAACAAAAAAAACAGAAAAACAATTAAAATTTCATTTACAAAACGAGAAACGGCACTTGGCGGGTAAAAAGTACTTAACGGGTTCGAACTGACATTGGGAATGGGTTCGAAATGTTCGAAATGGATTGGATAGCATTGGTTTGGGTTTTCTGGGGTGATGCGGTGTGTCTTTTTTCTGGTGGGTGCCACTTTTCGGCGTTTAATTTGTCGAGAGTTGCACTTGAAGCACGAGAAAGTAAATTGAGATAGATGGGAATCTTTCGGCTGGCGGAGGCGCCCTCGAGCTCAGATGGATGTGAAATGTACGGGCATTTGAGCCAAGAGATGAAGATGAATTCGAGACCGTTGTAAAGTTGCGTTACACTCTGCATACACTCGGGCGGGCGTTACACAACAGGCTTGACTGTATCGCCGGCCAGAGATCTAGTTAAAGAAGAGGGATCTTGGATCTTGCATTGAAAATGATTTCTTTTATTGTTGCTTCTGCGGCGAATCCATACATAAGTAATAACGATAACGTAAGTTAACAACAATTAAATGTACATTTATATAGAGGTACGAATTAAGTAGTGTGTATAAATATAGGTATAGGTATAAGTATATATCTCCCTCGACATGTTGTGTTGGCCATAAAGTCTCGACCGAAATCGCATTAAGCTTGGGCCCATCTTCCAGCGGAGGCCGTTCGCAGCTAGTGGAGGTTAGTTGGGAGTAGTATAATTTATAAATACACAGTACACTTTTAGTATATATCTTCATATGCCCCGGTCAGCCTTGGGGGCCCATTAAAACTCCAGTTATTATTGTTCGTGGGGCGGGAGTGGACGGTTTTGCTTTTCGTTTTCGGGGGGTAAAATATTTACAATTTTATGGTGCTTTTAATTTATGTCTCGTGTTTGGCCGCGCAAAAAGAAGTTGAAAATCCGCACTTAATCTAGACCATTAAAGGGGTACATTTAAAGAGTTTCTTGTTTTTTTTTTGTTTATCTGAGGGACGGGGTTGCTCTACAACACATAGGTACATACATATAGGTACATTTATCGCTTCGGGTTTACCCAAAGGATTTAAAAATTATTGTTCTAGCATAGGAACTGCTTTTGTCCTTTTAAGTTTCCACTTTCAGTTTTTTTTCTTCTGAATTTACTTTCAGTTAATCTTTTTGCATTTAAAACCTTTGAGTTTGATTCTTTTTGGGGAAAAGGGCGAAACCATGTTGAAATTGATAGTGTGGTTTACGTTTATGTTCTTAAGACATTATTTCGTATTAAATCTAAAATGAATGTGGGTAAAGGTAAAAAGTTTCTTTCAAATGAAAATAGTTTGGTTAACCACAATTCAATGTAAGACTTAAATATTTATTATCAAATTTTAAGAACTTTCAGATGTGGTTTACCTCTTTAAATTTTTGGAATATATGATTTTTCAATACATTTGTTATAACTTTGATTTATAGGATTTAAATTTATGGAAATGATTTTTCAAGACTCGTATGATATAATTCAAATTAAATTATGTATTTTAAAAACTTACTTCCTTAAAACGAAATGAAAAAGGTCTATTTTTTATAAAAGATGTCAAGCCTTTGAAGTGATTTGGCAGAGTGCCCTTTTAATTTGAAAATGGCACAAGCCCATTCAGAGTGCTTCAAAGTGATTTTCACGAGAATCCTTTGCTCCATTTATTTGTCCATTTTCACACACTTTGCTTTCGTTTGAATTGGATTTTAATCCGGGGAACATTTCCGGACGCCACTATCCCTTTTTCCGGACCCCAAACACTCTCGTTCACAACATGGTTTCCCCCAATCCCCGAGTTCCGTTTTTCCTTTGTCGTAGTTGTTGCCATTGTCGTTGTTGTTGTCTTTGTCGTTGTTGTTGTTGTCAGGTGTTTTTGGCTCAGATGGCTTAGTAGCGTCCATAGTTGGGTCCGAAACGGGCACCATCTCCGCCCAACTCATCCAGGGCGCCCATGGCACTCAGCTTTTGAAGCCAGGCGGCATTGGAGTTGCCGTTGGACACGCGTGGATTGTTGTTGCTGCTGCCGAGGTTGTTGTTGTTGTTGCCACCGGCGGCCTCATTGTGCAGACGCAGCTGTGGGTGTTGCTGCTGCTGTTGCTGCTGCTGTGGGTCCTCATTGCTCAACTCCAAAATCTGCAAACACAAAACGCAAGACGGGCAGAGAAAGATTTAAACTCTGAGCTGTTGTTATGGTTGTTATAATTATCGTATAGTTGCTGTTGTTAACACGACGCGGCCCCCCGCCGCCTTAAGATGATGATGATGGAGTGAGTCGAGTTATTTCAAAAATCTGTTGAAATCTTATTTATCCAACGTGGGAAGTTCGTCACAGATTTTTAGTTATCTTGTCGTTTTTTTTTTTCGTAAATTTTAATTTTTCTTTTTGGCGCATCATTAAATCGAATGAACTTTATCTGTAACGACGAGGCTGCCTGCTTCTGTTGTTTGCGTGGATTAACCCATTGTATATTAAAGGTGAAATATAGTAAAAACATAATATTGTATAAAAGAAAAAAATTTAAAAATATATAACTTACCAAATTATAATTAATAAAGCTCAACAAAGCAATTGCTAATTTATGCATAAAATAATACTCGAAAATAAAGCATCAACGACTTATAAAAGAATAACTTGATTCAGTCATTTATGGATATATCTTTTACAAAAATAAACTTAAATAAATGATTGTAAAATAATGAAAATATCTATATGTATTAACTTGTGTTATACTATTAAAAAGTGTTATTAAGATTTTTTCATTTATTAATCATCTTCGAAATTAATTTAATTAACGTGACGCAGAACACAAAAAAATACATTCCGCTTAAGACGAGAGAAATATCTCAAAAATGTGAGGAATCTATCGAGCTATTTGAAGTGCTACCCAAAATGGGTTAACCTGTCTCGAGCCGTCTTAACTTGGCTACCAGCTTTTGGCTCCTCATCGCCGCCGCTGTGAGCTGTGATGAGCTGAAAATGTGTTAATGGGGGGTATTGTCGTGTAATTATCAGCCGCCAACCTCTTTTCTGGCTACCAATGTAATCCCTCCCGCTTCTTCCCCTTTTCGAGCTGATCTTTTGTCTTCGTTTTTGGCAAAGTCTGGTTGTTGTGATGTGTGAACAAACACAAACAACGGCAAATGAAGCGAAAAACCTACAACAATTTCGCGCCAAGTAATTATTTTATTGCTAATTTTGAAAAGAGCAAAAAAATGGTAGTTTGTATTTTCGGTCAGCTTGCAATATTTGCCTCCTTTCGCTTTCCTTGGCCAAAATGCCATTAATGGTCCAGAGGTCTACGGGGAAGCGATGGTGATTATGGGATTGTTATCGCATTGCATCTGGCTGACTTGGGGGGTTGGATTTTCCAGGGGATGAGGGGTGGTGTCAGCTGGGTTTCGTCTCCCTTTTTTTTCATTAAGACCTCTTTGGACAGTTTAATTTGAGAGTCGTCGTTAAGTGAAAAGTTATGTGATTTTGTTTGGCTTCCCTCTCCCTTTTTTCCAGCCATCTCTGTCTATTTCTGTGTATCGATCTCTTTCCCACTTCTGACCAGGATTTTGTCTTGGCGATTGGAAAGGGAGTTGGCAGATACTTTATAAATAAACAGCTGCGTTTGGGTTGAGTTTTGAACGAGGGGAGTCTTTGGGTGTTGAAGATGGGTTGTTTTGGGTTCGGCAATTTCTGCTCAGTGGAATGAGCCACTTGATGAGTGGTGGGATTTGTAGGCTATGGCATTTGTGGCAAGTGGAAAGCGAATGTTGGAAATAATTGCCATCAATTCGAAATAATGTCGTGATGAAAATGGACAAAGTTCTGGTCAAATGCACATTAATCTTGAAGGACATATTGAATTCAGAATACTTAAGAAGAGGTTTGATTTATATTACACATTATAAAAGCCTTCCTTACAAAGTGCTACATAACTATTTAATTGCTTAAAATTCAATGTGTTAACCCCTAAAAGAAAAGAAAACCCTAATTTAAAAAATTAAAGAATCAGAAACACATTTCAAGTTCCTAATAAAAAAACCAGGTTGTTATTTATTAGGATTTTAATTAAAAATTTAAATGTATAACCTAACAAGCAAATATTTCACGAATTACATTAGTTTCATTTAGCCAGCTTCCCAAACTCTACAGATACCTGAAATTCAACTTCAAATCTCACAAACAGCATTCGTTTCTAATTGGCTTCGGAAGCTCAACAAATTTAATTTATTTAAGTCACTTTGTCATACCCAGTTGATTCCACTCCGACCGCATTAAATTGCCTGCTTAATGGATTACGTTTAAGACTCCTCTCATCTGTTTATTAAATTAACATTGAGTCAAAAGCTCAAGTTCATCCCCAAATTAGTTGCGAAGCTCTAAAACAATTATAAAGTTTACCCACGTACCAGTCAGTTTGCCACCCCTCAAGGAATACAATTATAATCCAATATATCTCTAATAAGTCAAGAGCATTATGAAATTGTCATTTTCCACATTCTATAACACAAATTGCTTCTGGGAATTCCGTCCAACAGCATTGTCATCTCGGTCTAAAAGGAAAAGGAGGTTTAAGGTGGGGAAGAGGGGGGATGTCGTGTCATCCTGTTGACATCCATCCTGCAGAAGGCAATAAGCTAAAGGCCAAGTTATGTTGTCTCATGTCGGTAATGCCGCTCTGTTGCTCTCGGCATCTCAGGTTCAATGCATTATTGTGTGTCAAGTGTTTTCATTTCGCATTCTGCTTATTTCTGCTTGTTTTTCCCCCAACTGTCGGCTGTCTTCAGAGTGACGTAGTCAAGTCAACCTTCATCAGCGGCAGAGCGACCACGTCACCGTCATTATTTGCTATTTGACATTTGATTTCCCTTTTCTTTAGCTTCTTTTTTTCGCCTTGCTTTATTTTTCTGCTCGCTTTTTTGTCCAAACATGGTCTGCTCTTGGTTTTGGTCTATGGTCTTCGGTCTTTGGTTTTGGTTTTTAGTTTTTGGTCTTTGTCTGCGCCGCACGTCAGCGACTTATCGATTTGCAGGGACCATGACTCAGAAAAGAGTCTGCGAAGGGGTTGAGATGTACATTCAGGAAAAAAGTTAACCCAGAAGCCCAGACCGGAAATTCTAGATAAATCTTCCTCGGAAAACATTTACTTTGTCCTGTCATATCCTATCAATTAACCAGTGAGTAATGAGTTCTTGGCTTTGTTAAGCTATACGCTTTTGTTTACTTGATAAATTATGTAGTTTAGAAAAGTCTTGTTATTTGCTGACTTATTTTTTAAAACATATAATCAATTTATAAGAAATTGTACAAGATACATTAAATAATTTTATACTATATAAAAAAGGACTATGAAAATTCTTTATTTGTGTAGGAAAAGTAAAATGGTAATGGCAGTCGAATAAACAAGTTATATTGAATTAAACTAGTGAAACAGGAAGGAAATTTTAAGAAGTATGAATTACTTTATTAGTTCTTTAGCTTCTTAAGGTTTTAAAACAAGTCAAGGGTTACAGTTTTACTCTTATTTTTTGATTTAATCCCATTAAAATGTTTTTCCTGGTATTATAAAATTTAAGGACCACACATATATCTATTTCTAAAATTTGCAATAATTTTGTTCCAGTGCCAAAACTCTTTTCCTAAGTTACTCGATTGGATGGCAGACAAACAGTTGCAAACAGTAGAGCAGTTTGTAGGCTGGATTTCTCACAGAAGTGCAGCTGCGGTGGATTTCTGCACACATAACTGCAGTTAAGTGGGGCTTCCTCGCCGAATCCCCTGGTGACCCCCGAAGCCCCGATCCCCCAATCCCCCGATTCCTACCCTCCTAGTTGAGCCGCATTTTTGCGTCTCGGTTGCGAAAAAGAACAGGAAACTGTGCCGAAAAAAAGAGGCACATTAAATAACAACAAATAACAACTCCAGCGGTGGCGGCGAATCAAAAATTGTGCAAAAGATGAGGAGCCCGGCATGCAAGTGTTGGCCAAGTTGGCGATTGTAGCCGAGCAGGCTCCTCCATTGATGGGGGCAAAAAAGAAGAAACGCTTGCGAAATATGTAAAAATATTTCTGAAATGGTTTTAAGACGCACAAGAAACCGCAGCGCCAGGAGATTGGAGTGAGCAAGAAGAAGAAGGTGGGAGAGAAGAAAGAGAGGTGGTGGTGCGGTTAGCAGGAATCTTCGGGGGAATCATTGGGGCCGTGGCCGAGGGACCTGTGTAACCTTATACCACCGATGACGTAACCTCCACTCCATTCCATACCATTCAATTCCACTCAGCAGCTCCATAAGTGACCAAAAACAAAACACCAAAATACAAAAGGCAAAAAAGAAAAAAAGTAATACCTAAAAGGTAGAAACGCACGAAAACAAAAACAAGTCGAAAATAAAACCTCAATAATTGGCGACATAATTGCAACTTAATACCACGCTTTGGCTCTCTTTTCATTTAGTTAATTATATTGACAGCGCACCGAAAATGCCAATGCACAAAACTCGGCTGAAGATACCCATCGCACACTCACTTCGATACACTGAAGAAATGCTCAATAATGGATCATTTATACCCGGAGATTCATTAATGCGTTGATGATAAATGCGAAATGATAACAGCGTAATTCAACAGTCCATTAATTATGGTGTGAACCATTTAGGAGTAATTACTTACACAATTATTAATGCAAACAACTTCATAATTAATATATTATCAACAGGCAAGCATATTAAGAAACTTACGAGAAATTAGGTTATTTATTTAATTACCAGTTTTGAATAACAAAAACTACCCTTTAATTAAAATTATATCAACATGCAAACACATTAAGAAACTTACAAAAAATTAAGTTGAGTATAGTAACCAATTATTTTATATGTTTAAAATTTTCGAAATGGTTCATAGAAGCAACTTTTTATTAAACATAGAATAGTAATAAATATATAAATAAATAAAATAAATATATATTGGTTTAATTACTCTTTTTTTTAATCCAAATAAAAATTACAAAGCTGTAGTATTGTTTTAACCGATTTTTTTCTTATGATTCGAAATGCAACTTAAAAAACCGTAACTGATCTTTTTTTAAACTGGTTTTAATGTTTTAAACTGCATTGGTAAATTCTTTGTTATTTAAACCAGTATTATACAAAAGAAAACTCTGTTAAAATTATAAATGTTTTCTTGCACATTAAGATATATGTTTTTTATAAATGTTTAGTAAAGTTTTTTCAAGCTAACCACAAATTAATAAAGTCAAATCCTCTTAGTTAAGTGAATCTCCCATAATATTGTTCTATGAATAGGCCGCTTTTTCGCGAAGTGTAGACTGGCTCACCTGCAGCATCAGCTCACGCAACTTGTCCAAATCGTCGCCATGCGACCTTGTCGGCAGGTAACGGCCGTCGACCAAATGCGGCGGGACGACCAGGAGCAAGACGGTCAGAGAGACCAAGAGCCACCTGTGTCCACTGCCACAGCCACTTCCCCTGCCACTTGCCTGCCCCTTCCTTTCCGCTCTCATTGTTGTCCTGGTGGGGGGCGTTCTGGCGTCTGCAATCGAATGGGCGTGGCACCGGGCTGCAAAGAGAGAGGCGAATGTGTGAGCCCCTCGCAAACTTCGAAGACAATTGCAGGATGTGTAATTGGCGTGGCAATGGTGATGGCTTTTAAGGTGGGGTCGCAATGGGAATAAAGACAAACCAGAAATGCATCTTGCACACTCACAGATTGCTGGGAATTAAGTAACAGATGAATTATTTCTGATGACCGAAGGAGTGCCATCCATTGGGATTTTAAATGGTCCCATAAATCTGGAATGGATGCTTTCTTGGCCTTTTCTCTCGGGAATCTATTTTTAAATTGTTAAGTCTGGTTTTGATTTTCTGGATAAATATTGGTAATGTAATTAAAATATACTGTTGCAAATATTTATCTTAATCAACGATCTTTATTTAAATTTTAAAAGCTTAGGAATATGACGGATGTCATCAGACTTTGAATGAATGAATGTAGTTTTTTAAACAGTTATTTTAGCAGATATTTTAAAAGCACATGTTGAAATATATTTTCGATGGTTAAATCAATACAGATTTTAAAAGTGTTTGATTTTACTTTAATATTTATTTGCCTTAACAAATAAACGACTTTAAAAAATCATTAAAAACAAGCATTTCATGGAAACTTTTAAAGACATATTTTAGGAGTACAAATTTCTTTTAAAATTGATATCTTTTATTTTCTCATAAAGTTTCCATCTTTACCAAAAATTGATTCTCTTGTATCTCTTTAAGTTGGGCCATTTAAAAATTCAATTTACATTTAATTCGCGTTTCCTTGGCTGCGCAATAATAAAAGTGCAACTGGAGCCACTTGGTTTTGTTTACCCAATCGAAAGAGGATTACACAATGCTCGAAATTTATGATTATGACACTGACACTGAAACCAGAAGCGATGGCAACTGGTACATCTGCACCTGCAGCCCGCTGTGACTCACAGTTTGCTTGTATTTTTTTATGGAGTTTCGGAGTTGTCCTGCGGGGAGTGGGTGGATTTCGCCTCAGAAAAAGTCACGTAGTGAATGTGTTTTGTTTGGCAAAGTGGAGGAGACACCGAGCGATGTTGTGAACTAGGATAACAATGTAAGTTTAAGCCAAGCTGCGTGCCGACGTTTGTATTTATAGCCAAAATTGCGGCACTGGCCGAGATTTGAAGATGACGCCAGGACGCCGCCGCCGCCACTTTTCGCAACGGTTCCGGATATTCCGCCCTCCGAATGCGCTACGCCCCTACGGGGAATTCGAATTAGCCTTTGCTTTGTCCTGTCTCCAAAGCCGAGCCACATTTACCCATTTCCACGTTTCCCCTTTAGTGCGCGCGCAGCCTTTGGTCGGGAAAAGCCAGCGAAAGCCAAAAGTAACGACAACATCCCATCCATATCATTGTCACCACACACACACACACTCACACACACACTCGTTTACATGTGGTTGTGGTTGTGACCGTTGTTGTGGTTGTGCCCCACCGTGTTTGTGTGGCCTCGCATTTCTATTGTCCTGTTCTCGGGCGTCATCATCATAATACGTATACGCCCAGTGCGCCAGGCAGCCCCGAAACGAAAGCAGCCAGCTTCCTCTGGCGAAATGGTTTCGCCTGGCCAGCTTTCATGGTTAACCCGCCGCCGCGGGTCTCAGTGGGTTGTATTCTTGTCATCGCGGTAATGGATGTTTGAATGCGGGGGGGGGTTTGGGGGGGGCAGCATCGGTGATCGGTAACATAAGGTTCCGTTCGTAGCCAACAACTTTGGTTAACAAGGCGACCAATATTAGCATTCACTATACAAGGGAATATTTACATGGCAACCTATATTATTTATTATTTAGTTTAAAAAGATAACTTCATTAAGATTCCATTTTTTTTGTAACATTGTTATTCACCTCTTTAACACTAAAGCAACAATTATGGATGATAAAATACAGTTTTGTATTTATGATATTCATATTTAAGGGTGGCACGAATACATATTGTCTATCCCTGTTGTGTCTTACTTTATATGATAATTTAATGTAGTGGAATTCAAGACGTTTTATGGTTCATGATCCCAATCTTTAGAATTTAATTTACTATTCTATTAAAAGATAATACGTAAAAATGTTACGATAAACAGGTTTTAATTTATATCATTGTTTTTAAATGTTACTGTCAAGTCTAGAATAAAGACTGGAATTTATGAAGCTGTAGGTTACAGGGTATCCCCTAGACCAAAAACTTTATAAATCCTCTTGAACTTGTTGTGGGCTGCTCTTGCGACTGCCGTCGTCATGGCTGCAATTGTTGACATTGCGGGCGTCAATAAATGTCCCAGTCCCCGGGGCTACAACTTCGGTTGGCGTTAACTGGAGTCCAGCACTTAATTGTTATGGTCTTCCTCTGCGTTGCTGGGATATGTGGCTTGGTTATCTGTGGTCGGTGGTGTCGCTGGTGTTGGTGAAATGGACCCATTTGTATACCACGCACGACCGATAGACCGAAATTTTTGATATAGCGCAGTTTTGTGTAGCCATTGCTGTGATTGAATACGTGACGTGCATGGGAAGTGGTCCAGTTTCTTCGCAAGGGTTTTACGACCCTGGCTGGATGAGGAACACTAGTAGCAATAAGCCCATTCATGCGCACTCCCACCCAAAATTCAGCTGCTGGTTAATTTATGACCCCGTCTCGCGTATAAACGCTTTATGGAACACCCCAAAATTTTGAATGCTCATTGCGTTCTAGTTATACTATGAAAAAAAGGAAAATAAAAAGAAAAACAATTACTTAAAATATGAAATAATCAATTCATCCTCAGCGGGAATTGAACTCTCGACATCCGTTTTCTGTATATAAAATGTATTCTGCGTTGCCCTAGGCTCAAAGCTCCCAAAAGCTCGTCTTAAAGCTTTTATTCAGTCCATCTGGTGGTTAACTTTACTGTTATGTTTACTTCATATATACCAGAGGATGAAGCGGGTTCGATTCCCGTTCGCTGCAAATAATTTTTTTTATTTTCAACTGTCTCTATAAAATCCAAGCTATGTATTTATTTTTGTTTGTGGACTGTATGAGTTAACTAAAGCATTCCAATTTTAGCAACTTCATTGTTGAAATTTATCAAAAGTCAATAATTGTTTTTGGGGTTTCCCCCTCGGTCATATGTCATTCTAATAAATCATGGGTTTATAACTGACCTTCCATCGATACTTTATACATTTTGTATCATTCATTCGTTACTGATTTAATTATATTACATTTTGTATTTGGAAAGGCCCTTATTATTTTACAAATTATATTTTATGACATAATCAAATATGTAGTTATTTTTATAGGAAAGTTAAATTCAAAAAGACTACCTAACTTGTTGATATTAAAGCAAAAGTACTTCATTAGGTCATCCCACATTTCAGCCTTCATCTACTTTCTCAAATAAACAAATCTTGGCATACCAATAAAATTCGAATAAAGCATCTTGCTAATTGGTTGTAGCTTTTAAAAATCCGACCTTGTTTAGGCTATAACTAAAAGGTTTTCCAAATTAGGCCACTGTGATACATTTTTGTAGACGATTAGTAATCGTAAATGGTTTTTAGCGAATAGTATATATTAGTTTTCTTTCTTTGTATATTGTAGAAAAGCGCAGCCGTAATAGGCAGTCTCAGATCTCAAGCTATTTAAGTTTCATGGGAACCACATTTACATATGATAATGTGGATATTCTTAGCTATTACCCATGTGCTAATTATTTATAACGAAACCCAAAATTCATCGTTTATTTTTGCATAGACTTTATTCACTTGAATCGTTATACAATTACGTTTACAATTACAATTACCGTACAAAAAAATGGAGGTTGAACAATATCGCATGTGGATGGAGGAATAAAGACGGGAAGTGAAGAGATATACATATGGCTCGTATAAAACCTTAACTAAATGTAGAATCGATCTTAACTAGAGCTACCGATTAGGTCTTACGTAAGGTCTACTTAACAACAACTAAAATACATTCAGTGGCATTCTACCTACAATTACTTGTCTCAATTACATTTATCAATTGTGTTTAATTATTAATTGCTCAGAGTCAGGTGATCTAGGGATTACATCTACAGACACAGCACGAAGGAAACAGGAACCAATCCATAAAAATGCCCTTGCAATCGTTGTCGGGATCGTAGGCGAGCAGTCGATGCCATTTGTACTTCTGTTCGCATCCACATTCGCCCTCGCAACGGGGGGTTTGAGTATTGCTAAAAAAAAATATAGAAATATTAGATATACTCGAATAAATAACAACATGAATAGGTAGAGGTATAAATCCGACATAATTATTCGTTTCAGAAAAGAGTCACACAATTAATTATTTATTATTTTGATGCAGTCTAACGATTTATACTATTAAATTTTAATTATGTCCGATTTATTTTGGGGCACATCATACGATTTTACTAACCTGCACACCTCCTGATGAATGGCCTGTTCGAAATGTTGTGTATTTACAATGGCCCTGATTTTCCCCGCCGAATTCGATGCCCAATAGGGTGTGACAATTTCGATCTTCGACTCGCAGGCATCGAGTCTCCCAGTGCCCGAATTGCCATTCCCATTTCCTGGTGATCTATTGCTATTCGTATTCCCATTGGCACTTCCTCCGGCTCTATTTCGATTTCCTCCGGCGGCTGCTTGCCGTTTTTTCCGGAGTTGGCCAAAGTAACTATCTCCGGCTTCGACGGTTTCCCCAGCATTTGCGGCAAATGCTCCGGGTGGAATGAAAATATCTGGCTCGTCTATGAAGCGTCGTTTTCGCACCTTGGCTTGCTGTCTTCCTCCTCCTCCGCCAGGACCTTCCATATTCATCTCGAAATCGCCGTACATCCTTCGCATTAAAGCCTTGTTGTCATCTATGAAACGTTCGATTTTGTCACTAAAATAAAAAAATTAGAATCATTTGTAAAATCCACAAAATTACAAAAAATGCTACAAATAATTTAATGCATAATACACAAAGTGTTATTTTATTTTAATTTTTTGTAATAAAATTAATGGAAAATATATTTTGAAACATCAAGCCTTGTAAGTCTTAAAAAAGGTGACCGACATGTATTTTTATAACTGCAAATTTAAATCTTCCGTCAAAGGCTTTGCCCAATAAGGTGATTCACTAGCGATTTTGATCTTGAAAGGCAATAATCATTTGCCAAAAATAAATTAATTTGAGGCTGACCGTAAAGGTGATATGATAAGGTCAGAAAACCACCCTGTAAAATTTAGAAATTAATTAATTAATTTAATTAATTTGATTAATTAAGTTGGTTAAGAAATGGATTAGCTAACTTTGATAATACACCTTTTTACCCCATCGCGTTGAAAATGATGTTAATGAACTTTAGAATAGATAAAAGGTTTCAAAGTCACACATTTTCGTCCAAACATTAAGCCAAATTATGAAATTCAAAGCAATTTTACGTGCCTATGCTAATGGGAACCGTTAACTGTGTCATTTAAGAACAGTCAGCCGGATAAAATGTGATTCAGATCAGTTTTTCGGCGAAGAAATCAAAGAAAAGAAAACCACAGAAACGCAAACATCCTTGAGCTAATCAAAAAATGTGTGGTCATAACCAAAATTTTACGAGTGTTCTAAGGGAAATACCAATTTATCTATAATCTAAGAATATATTTTATATATTGAACTATTGTTTAACTAACACAATATCGAAAGTTACAGACACCTCTATTCAATTTGAATCTCAAGTTACAGAAAACATAGTAAAATAAATGAATATCTAATTTAAATATTATTCTTATTTGTATTTGTAAAAATTTTGGGAAGCCCAAGAACAGAAAAGGCAAAATATATACGATTCAAAAAATTTACGAGAATCTAAAATATAAATTTTATTTAAGATATTACAAATTACAAAAAATTTCATTTTTTTATACCATCTATAAAAAAAGAGTAGACATTTACTTACATGGGATAACTGTTGCCGGCCGTGGGGCAGAATAGCTGATGATATCGCTTGATGCAGGGCACTCCCTTGATGACATCGCCCCGCACGTCCAGTCCCAAAGCCACCGACAGAGCCGTCCACCAGATCTGAATTGGTCAGAGAAACACAGAGGGTTCGAGCGATAAGTATTTAGCATTGAAAAAGCCAATTGAGTTTCGGCCGCGTACTGAGATTCGGATTGATTTGGCGACCATAACAAATTATGGCCGGGGTGTGAAAATGACTCGAGTAAGTCATAAACATAAAAGTTCGGTTTAATTTCGGCAATGGGAGGGGGTTGTTGGTGGGTCGGGGAGTGGCTTATATAGTTGGATTTTGGGATTAAGCTCCACGAGTCGCCATGCGCCGATTTTCAATATCAATCTCTCTCTTCTTTCGTCGTCATCAACATCATCACACCTCTTAATGAAACGAACTCGCACGACCTTCGTGCGCAAAAAAAAAAAAAAAAAGGGAAAATAAAACCGAAATGAAACACAAAATCGTCAAAGTTATTTCCGCAAATGAACAAACTCGATCGATATCGAGAGTACACTGGAGGAAAACAAGAAAACTAGAACCAAGAGTCAATCTTTGTAGTTCATTTACTGACTTGTTCAGTTAAAGATTTGATATTTTTTTGGACGTTCTAATAAAAAAGGTGTAATAATTCTACAAAAGCTTGCTCAAGTTTTATAAAATTGTTTACAAAAATTAATAGTGAAAGCATAGAGATTTTACTTTATATGAAAGAATATAAAAAATTCAGATAATATTCTTTGTAGATAATAGTTTTAAAAGGGATTTAAAATTTTTTTTACATTTTTGATTGTTAAAGTTGTGATTGCTAAAATGTATAAGAATATTTTATTAAATAACAGATCAGAAATGAATCGTTTTAATTAATTTTTTGTCCTGTACTTTAAAAAGATCTTTTTATCCCTATTTTTAAATAGTAAACTGTGGTTTTCCCCAGTGTGTCAATTAAACTGCGCGCGTGCTCAGAACCTCGTACCGCCCATCGCCCACCGTCCCACGCCAACCCGCCACACTTACCGGAATCTGTAGGAACGTTCCGTTGTTGAGTTTCGGATAGGAGAAGAGCGGCACCACCGGCACTGTTCCGTTCTTCAGGTAAATGGGTCCCTGGATGGGCGTCACCGTGGGCATCTGATTGTTATTCGCCTTATCTGTGAACGGAATGTAAATGGATTCGAAAATTAAGTGGAAATTGAAATTGGAGTGCTTTTGAATCGTCTGATTGCTGATTGCTGCTGTTTCGCCGGTGATTCATGGCAAGGACGGGTACGAATTGTCGTATCCGTGGCCGTTGTCACCGCATTAATCAGCCCGGTTAAACCCAAAAAGAGCTGCCATTGCAACTGCAACTGCAAGTGCACTCGGTGTCTGCATACAAATCGCACTCCGGTTGACACTTGCATGTATAAATTTCATGTCTGCCTGGCATTTGTAATGCCCAGATCCGGATCTTGGCCCAGACAGAAACTTTCCCTTTTATAGTCATACTGCAGGATGCAAAACGAGTTGGAGAATGCGAAAAAGGGAGCATACAGTGGCAAAAATATGTTTCCTTAAAACGAATAACGGAAATCTAAACTATTAAATTCATTTAAATTAAAAAAAGATAGTACTAGAGTTCCAAAACCTAATAATTTAAGTAAAGTGAATTGATCGAAATGTTCTTCTTCTGAAAAATACTACCTATGTATGTATCTTTTGCTAAAAGTTTTTAATGTTCCTATTATCCTATAAGGCAAACGGATAATGTGAAATAGTTTGTCATAGACTGATTCACAAAATACAAAAATTATGTATGTTTTAAGTGCACAATTAGAAGCTGAAATTCTAAAAAACTATGGGATAAATACTAGTCAATTATATTATGACCAATGTTTAGCGATTTATTTATTACATTATAAATCTAAAACTTCAGAAACTCAATCGATAAATATTAATTAACAATTATATATTACGCCTTTTGCTTACATATTATTTTACATATTACATATTATTTTTTATATTATATTTTAGTTCTGTCAATATAAAATGTACTTAATAGCTTTTCTTGATTCAAATCTTAGACCTCTAATTTTCTCACTGTGCACCGAAACCATGTCACTTTCAGCTAATGAGAGATTCTTCGCGGCGTTGTGAAATAGATTCTTTGTTTCTGTGCACCGATCTTCGCCAGCGATCTCTTCTTTTATGATATATTTTTTTCGCCTGCACAAAGGTGAAAACCCAGCGATGAGTACTTGAGTGCCGAGACAAAAAGCAACCCAAACTAGTATCCGAGTTTGGGTCTTGCGTGCGCACGTCTTCATATATGAGAGCTGGTTCATGAGCTCGCCCCCTCCCCCTGACCCCCCTTAACCCCCCTGCCCGCCCTCCTAAAAATTCGGGAGATTGGAACGCGAACGCGACTTCTTGCATAATAGCCCCGTAACCGAGTTGAGTACTTGAGGTCTGAAGTCTTAAGTCTGGCAGGTTGTTGGCTGGCTAATGCCTCGACCACTCGCCGATTGAGATTGAGATTGAGGATGGAGAGGCAGTAACAAAGAGGCGCCACAAGCTAGGCCGAAAGTGAAACATCCAAAAAGTGAAGCGCCGCTGACAGTTTTCCATGAGGACAACAAGGGCAGCACATTCAGTTACAGATACAGATACAGATACAGATACGAAGTATCGGAGATACTCGAGCCGTTAGATGGGGAGATTCCGATTCCAATTCCGATGGAGATGGAGATACACCCCGGCACAACATAAATCGTGATGCGTGCCAGCCTGTTAGTTGCTATAAAAGTCAAACACTGGCCATTACTGTCTTGAAAGTGACCTTGCCGATCGGTTTGTAGACCTTTGACCTTGTCGCTTGCCGCTTGCCGCTTGCTGCTCGTTGCTCGTGCGCTTGTTTACCCCACAACTTATTTATTTGTTATTTGTTATAGTTGCCGCGGCGATCTTGTGCAGAAGTTACTCTCAATTGGAAAGATACACAGAAACAAGTAGCAGGCGAAACCGCAGAAATTAACATCACTTTCGGCCCCCCGAAAACTTTGGATCGTGTGCAGACGTGGGTCTTTTCGGCGCTTATCATCCGCGGATCTGCCTGCTCCAAATACCGACTACACAACTTTTTGACAAAAAAGCAAACAAATTAAACCACCAACATTTGTTTTTATTTGTTAATTGTTCAGATTGCCATCGCAGTGAATCAGGAAGCGCTCGAATTGGAATGTATTCAGTTGAGTGATACGAGCGCGTCTCGGGAATTTCTTTCGGGGGAATGAGGAAGTGATTCTCCAGTTCTTCAACTGAAGTTCTACAAAGCTCTTTCTTTTTTTGTTGGCATATTTATTATGCAATTAAGTACATTTAATTAGCAACCTCATGAATCACATTTTTGAGTGGAGAAGTATAATAAGTTGTCTCACTTTAACAACAATGTCATTATACTTGATTTTTTTTCTATTTAACTCGTTTGCATTTTCCAATTGTGATTATAATATATTATAATAAAAGGGAATATAGTTCTAATAAAACTTTTAAAAATTAGTTACAACTTTTAAACCCACATTATAAATAGTTTAAGTCGATTTTTCATGCAAATTAATTTCTTCATTTTTAATTATTTAAAACTAAGGAATTTTGTCCCATATTTCTTTTATGTTTAAAATGTCCTGTTCTTATTATCGGAACTCTTTAACAACCCCTTTCATAAATTTTATTTAATAACTGTTGAAATATCATTCTATGCAATTGTATAGTGTTGGATCTTTTAAAGAACTCTTTTAAACTTTCCAACGTAATGTGTTAAGAACAAGTATCCAATCTTCCCCCAATAAATTCCATCTCCCTTTTTATTATATAATTTGTTATGATTTAAATTATCATTCTTGGCACTCACCCTTCTCTTGTCCCTCGTAGTACTGTCCCTCCTCCTCGCCGTCCTCCTCCTCATCCTCCTCGCCCTCCTCCACGTCGTAATCTAGAACAGCGTGCACCTGGGTCCTGGAGCCCTGGCCCGCCTGGACCCTCGTGAAGCCCGGAGCTCGTTCCGGATAATTGTCCGGCGGAGCGACTCCGTAGGTCTGGGCTGGCTGAACCTCCGGCTTGGCCTGCCTCGACCTCTGGGGCGGCGGGGCAGGTGGCGGCTGTTGCTGCTGCGATGGCGGTGATTGTTGCGGCAGTGGTTGCTGCTGCTGCTGCGGCTGCTGTTGCTGCGGTTGCTGCGGCTGCTGCTGCCTGCTGCCAAAGCTGGTAATACTAAAGCTGCCGCTGTTCTTGGTGAAAGTGGCACTGGCACTGCCATGGGCATTGAAGTACTGCTTCTGCTGCTGCTGTGGCTGCTGCGGTTGAGCTGGCTGGCCGGGATAACGGGAGTAGGAACCCTCCGCCGGACCCCGGCCACTCGAATGAGTCAGCTGAATGGAACTTTGGCCCGTGGTGGTGCTCGACCTTGAACTGGAACTGGAGCTGGAGCTCTGGAAGGACACGCTGTTCTCATTGTGATCCTGCTGCTGTTGATGTTGCTGCTGCTGCTGTTGCGTTTGCTGCACTTGCTGCACCTGCTGTATGTGGTAGACGGAATTCCTAACAGCATTTGGCGCCGTTGGTGGCAAGTAGGCATTGCTCTGCTTGCGCCGCCCAGCGGTGTTCTGATACTGATAGCCACCCGACTGCGGTGGTCCGTAGGGATTGTTCTTAAAGTACTCTGGATCGGCTTGGGCCTCCGCTGGAGACTGCTGCTGGTGGTCCGCCGGCGAGTAGAGCAGGTTGTTGGTGTTGCTGGCCAGCTGGTGGATCGGATGCAGGGGCGCCAGGGTCACGCCCCACGGCTGACCCAGGGCGCCGAAGGGCAGCGAGAAGTTCGTGAGCGCCATCGGAGGAGGGGAAGGGGGAGGCAAGTGCGAAATGTATGCTGGTGCGCGTTTCAGTGCGCAAACGAAAGACTTAGGCGACAAACTCGATTCGGGCGCGCATGCGACATCATCTAGAACAGATCAGCGCGCACGGAAATTGATGGCGCGCGCTCTCGAAATTGATTTATGCAAAAATAACAAATCAGTCAGATCAGCTCCCCCACTGCCCACTTTCCACCCCTGGCAACAATGGCAAACACACACGCACACACACACACAACCACTGGCAGACTCACAGAATAACAACACCAAACTCACACACGCCGTATGTCGTATGTCGTATTTGTATATATGTGTATATATCGCGATGCGGAGATATGTGCAAACGATGTTGTTGTTATTAAATAACTTAAGCGCGATTTTTAGCTCCGGTGCCCGGTGGTCCGCGTGTGTGCTAAAAAACCATTCACGACAAGCTGACAATCGAGACTGAGCCGTTCTCGCCGTGCGCCTTAAAAAAAAACTTAATGGGCGGAAAATGTTTCAACTCTCGAAATCTCGAAAATCTCCGACTTGAAACATTTGCGCTCAGCTCGGCTCAGCTCCCTCGATCTCCGAATCTGGCTAAGAGCGAGCACTCGGCCAACTGAGTTGCGTTTTTATCTTTCGTTTTTCGGTTTCTGCTGAATGGCAAAACGAAAAATAAAACAAAACCGGAAAATAATCGATACAGAGCCGTTCGCATCGCGAATGCTCTTAGTGATATGAATAAATAAATCATTCTCTTTGCTCAAAAATGTTGTTTACTATTTTGTAAAAATTAAATTATTCTCAGATTTCTATCTCTACCGTAATATTCGTTTTAAGGAACTGTAGAAAATGATTTGGATTTTGTAAGTATTGTTTCCCCCAAATAATAGTCTGTTTTCCACAACACTTTTTATAACTCTTCAATAATTAAAAAGATTTTAATTGAACTTGCCAAATAAATGATTTATTGGAAAGATTCGACGAACCATTTGTTATTTCGCGATTGATAGATTAACCCAATAAATTTAAATAATGTATTTTAATGAAACAAATCTGAGGGATTTTAGATAGTGGACTTAAAGTTGTTGACAGTTGCCGCATATCTTAATTCAGGTATTTTATTATTTAAGCTTAAATGTTTTGATTAAGGAACGGGGTTTTGCAATCTTATGGCATAGTTAAAAGCTGGTTTAATGTAGTTAAAAAACTTTTCTTCTTAACTAGAATCGTTTTGAAAATAAAAAAAAATCTCCTAGTTCTGTTTCCAAGTAATGATAATATCAGTAACTTAAAAAAAACAATGATGAAATAATTCCGGAATGTCAAATAGTGATTTGGATATACCTTTCGCATACCTTAACCGAGGGAATCTTCTTCGGCAAGTGCCGACGGCATCCCTCAAAGTGGGATTAGGTAGGTTAATGCTAATGAGAACTCCGTTCGCGCTGGCATTTGTGACCTAGGTCAATGCCTGGATGCGTCGAACGGCCGACTCGTCGTCGACTCGGCTGATATACATTTTTAGTGGCGCTTTTGCCGAGAAACGCATATTAATCACAGTAACCAAACCGAAATCGACGACTGTTTTATTTCACATCGAAGGCAATGAAAAGCAAAAGTATATCTAAAGTGGGCTTTCAAAACTGGTTGTGAAGAGCATCGCGCGTCGAGTCGTTACACACATGGCTGCCAGCGTAAGAGAGTGGATGGCATGGGGTTCTCTAGATGCCATATCTCTGCGGTTATCTCACCCTCTCTTCGGGCCCAAAACAGTGGTTAGTGGTTGCAGGGCGGGGTCAGCGGGGTAAGCGGGGTTGTGTGGGGCTGGTCTGAAGTGTGTCGAGTGCATCGGGCGATGAGCAAATGGATTGCGGCGATGATGCTATGAATGAATGACTCGGTGAATATCAACTAATCAGCTAATCGATTGGGGTGTGTAGACACCCGTCTACGTCACGGATCGCGGTTCAATGCGTCCACTTTGCATATTAGCACCTCTCGAACTGGAGCTCCCCGCCTCTCGACAGCCGGAAACGGATGCAGCTAATGGATGGAGCAACGTGCTACGATCTTATCTCTGCCATGATTTTTTCCGGGAAAAACGCCCTTTAATTGTGTCTCCTGTTCTGGCGGGTGAATCAGTTCCCCGAGTGGGGAATTTTTCTGATTGAGGATATGCATTGATTGACTGACCAATAGCCAGTGGGTGATTCTCTTGACCCGGTCCCCTTTTCATGGCCACTCGCGGTGTCTTGAGCCACTTTTCCTTTTTCGCATTCTTACATGCAAATAAGTCACTTAAAGTGTAACACTTGGGTTTGGCCAGCTGCTGTCTGCCTAAACACTGAGAAAAACGATTGAATTCGAGTTGAAAAACAATGCATTCTGCTCTTGAGAAATAAAATTATTAGGTGTTATTTCAAATATATAATTTAAATTGTCTAATTAGGTAAACAATGTTGCACTCCATTTATGTTCACATTTTCCTTTTATGCCTCATTTGTTATTAAATAAACTATTTTTTTCCACATATTTTCTATTTATTTAGTAATTGCAGTTTTGGTTTTGGCTAAAATTAAAATCCGAATACCTTTTGAACAAAGTATATAGTGTTTTCATAAAATTGTTTTATGAAAACATGCAGCTTTTATATGAAGCATAAAAAAGCATATGTTTTAAGAATTATTTACATGACTTCCTATAATTATAATTTAAATAATAATGTTTGTGATTTTCAATCCTGCTGTCTTTTTTTCATAGAATTTTTCAGTGCTGTCCATGTCATAACCATAACCATGGCCATGGTTAATAGCCAGGCCTTTGTTCTATGGGGGCTACTGCTGACCAAGCCCAAACAAATATTGCAATTTTTCATAAAATTTCAGGGATGGAATTAGCAAAAAAAGTTTATACAATGCTTTGTTATTTTAAATTTTAAAATGCATCACAGGAAAAAGAAGTTTGTACAAACATAAGTTGAATATTTAATGTATTCAGAGATACGTTTTTTATGTTATTTTCCTTTGAATTTAATTACACTTCAGAAAAATAAAATATTAATTGAGAATGGTTTATTTTAGGCGAAAACACATTTGTGGTGAGTCCCTGGCCTTCCGTTTTCACAGAAGAGCCAATAAAACTGTTTATAGCTTTTCCCATGTGAGGAAGCCAGTGATTCATACGAGAGACAGGCACTTCCTGCCCGTCCCTAGTCTCTCAGCTCACATGCTGTAAGCCCAGATGCAATTCGAGCTTAACCGATTTCTTAAGGCCAGAACAAGTTTGCGCATAGTTCAGTTTAAACGAAAAAGAAAAAAAAAACGGCGCTAAGCGTTAGTTATATTTTTTTGCCTTTCCCTTTTCATGCGACAGACATTGAAACTTCTTGGTCGGATTTGGCTCGCAGCACATGGAGCATAACGAATCCATGGCTCCGAGATCCAATCCGAATCCACTCGACAATCAAATAATTTGACGCGAAATCGAACTGAATCGAGATCTGCGAATGACATTCCTTCTAGCGCCTGGACCTGGATATTAAATCGCCGCTGGCCTTTTTGGTCGTCTGTCAAAGAGAAGTGAAACAGCGCCGGCAACAATTTTTAGACCTTATCGAAAGGTGGCTCTCGAGCTGTGGCCTTAAGTCGTTAACAAATTTTAACTGCCAATCCGTTGTGCAGCCACGTTAAAATATAAAACGCCACAAACATCAAGTGTTTGTTGCTGCCTGCCATTGTCGAGGGTTCTCTCTGGTTTTTTTTTTTCGGGGTTTTGGATCTCAAATCCCCAGGTCGAAACGAATGACAAAAATGTGGGCGCCCAGGCCAAGCCATCGATGTTGATCGATTCGATCAGCATAAAAAAGCTTTAATTAGAACCAATTTAGAGCGTGGACCAATTTATCAGAAGCATTTTGAAAAGTAGTTGAAAACCAGTCGAGAGCAACTTCAGCATTTCCGACGCGGGGCTGTTAGGGAGGTGTTGCCGCAGATTTCATTATAACTCAACATTAGCCGACATTATTATTGTTATGGCTTAAGCCCAACTGAAGTGAACTGAAACGGCAACAGAAATTGCCATTTACGCATTTGTTTTTCTTTGTCAATTGTTCCACTATTCGAGAGGTGTGGACCCAGGTTCAAGTGCACATTCATAACTATTATGTGGACAGCTCTATACCTGTAACAATGTAGAGCGGTCACTGCGAGAGTTAAGCCATGGGTTCACGAACGATCCGAAGGATAATGTATGCTTTTAAGCGTCCAGAACAAATAAAAAATGGTTCGAAAAAATTGGTAAGTTTATATATTTGCTTTATGAAAGCAGCAACGTTCTAATAATTGTGGGAAATGTATAGTTTGCAAATAGTTTTCCTCGAACACCCACTTTTTAAATATTTGATTCATTAAAACTTAAAGAATCCGGATTGACAGCACTTGTACCAGGCACCAGTTGAAGTATTTTTTTACTATTAAAAAAAACTACCAATTCTTGGAACCACCCTCTTGTTTTTTTTTTTTTTTTTGGTAACACTTTCAGCTTTACATACAAGTGGGAAACCAGTTAATTAATTTGGTTCGATTCTTGGCATCTAGATGGAAGTCAAGACAGCCGCCAAAAAGTTTTCTTTATATAACAAATCATTAATTACCTTTCGATTTCTGGTTTTTACCTTGGGCGGAGTCATGAACCCGACACCTAATGCCATTAGCCCAGCCGTTGCGGATCTGGGATTACAATACCGGAGTGTTTGGATCGTTCAAGGAAATAGGTTTATTGCGAGCATAGCTGATGCAAGTACAGGTTGTTTCCGATCTCTAGTATCTATCGTATTTCCCCTTTGTGGGCACCCCAGGAGCTTGTCCGTTTGCCGAAGAGTTCTGATTGTGATTGCTGCTCTGACTTGATCCAGTGGAACCGCTTCCACCTTGCGAGGCTAAGGTGTAAACCTCGTAGTCGGCGATGGTGAAGTTGTAGTCCCCGAAGAGGGTCAAATGCGCTGCGTTGGCGCCGTCGTAGGAATGCGGAAGGTTCGAGTAGGAGTCCATGTTCATATTACAGTTGCTGGAGATTAGCAGATCCGCTCCAGCGCCAAAAATGGGACCGCAACTGAAAAGAAAACATGAGATTTTGATTAACAAGGCATTATGAATTATGTTTACCTATAAGGTTATTAGAGCTTGACAAAAATGAAGTGTTTTTGTAAGAAATTGTTATTAGACATATTTTAAAGGTTAAAGAAACCTTTTCAACTTCAAAATATTTATATTAATTTATATGGTCTATTTCTTTTATAAAGACCCATTAAACTTACTCAGGATGATAACAGATGGCGTAGGGTTTCTTAACAATGTCAAACTTGGTCGGCTGTTCGCCGTTCGAAGGGTTCAGAGCAAAAAGGAATGCTCGCTCGGACTGTACGTATCCACCCTTCCGACTCGTTTTGGCCCAGGCCACATCCGTAAAGCCGCCACTGATCTCTCCATGCGATCCCAAGCCGATAACCATGCAAGGAGCCACACCATCACAATAACGATGGAAGGCCCCCGAATCGAAGCCGTGTGTGGACGCTCGGAAAACCAATCTCCAGGATTGCTTGGGCACTCCGAACCAGTTATTGAGTGCATTCTGCAGTGAAAGCTTGTCATTTTTAAGGATTTGGGATCCTGGAAACATGTTGACCGCTACAGTCAAGCGGGGCTGCAGTCTTTTATCGTTATCCACCATTTTGTTGGCATGCAGGGCGGCATAGCGATATCTTTCGAGCGAAAGTTCCATGGGTACTGCCCCGGTCGGTTCCACTTCCTCAGCAAAAACTTGGCTGTCTATGAGGAGGAGACGAACGTGGCCCATTACTCCGCTTAAGTGTTGGCAGACACGGGCTCGTTCCTCCTCAGTCCAATGGGCAGTGGGCTGGGTGACTCCGGCTTGGTATTTGGCCCAGGATAAGACGCAGCGCCACACTTCCTCCTCCTCCAAGCAAAACTATTGAAAAAATAATTTTTTATTATTCTAAGCATTATTCAAATTAATATTTAATTCGATATTAAGGCATGTTATCTACATTACTCATTATTTAACACCGGCTAAAAAACAATATTTGATGGAATACTAGCGGATTAGTTTTTAAATAAGGCCATTAAAGTGTGAATTAGTTTGACTATTAAAATACGTGGATTTTAAAATTATTAAACGTAAATGTTATAATACTATGTTCAGTATTGTTTTAGGCTTAAAATAATTGTAGGTAGTTTTTATAGCTGATCAAAGGTCGTCTAGACAAACTTACATAGTCGGATGAAATAATCTTGATAATGGCATCCTTTGTTAAGGTAAGGAAAGCATTCGTCTTGACGCATTCACTGGCATTTTCACCTATAAAGATGATGCAGCGTTCCATAAACGAGGCAGCGCATTTTGCACCTGTAAATGAAGAAATTAGTGTTAACATCTATTTATTTAAAGTGAAATAAACGACATTACCTTTATAAGACCTCCCATTTCACGTCTTTCCCGAAATAGTCTATTATACATATTTCCTTACCCATTAAAACTCTTGAGCTCAATAGAAAGTATACCTTTTATTTGAACATTCGTCTTCAGATTTCGGCTTTACATTTATTTAACTTATATTTAAGACGTGCAGCTGTCGCAGGTGGAATTTGCAGGGTAGGAGCGGTTTCCTATCCGCTAATCCTTCGTGGGACTGACGTTCTGTATGAGCGTGATGTTGTCGCCTTTCAGCATGATCCTTCCGAGGTTCCTCCGTTGGCGGGTCTTCACATATACCTCCTCGGCATCGTCCAGCACCAGATTCATGTACTCGTCGAATCCCACGATGTGCCCCTCGATGCGCAGCGATATGTTTTCATACAGCCAGACTTGCACGCGGGAACGGTTCTGCAGGTATCGGAAGATAAGGTTGATGGGCTGCACCATCACCTTCTGCACCTTGGGGTTGCCTTTGAACGACATCTTAGCTGATTTCCGGCGGTTTTAATTTAGTTTTGCAAATTTTTTCGCTTTTTTTTGCCGGCGTCTTCTTTTTAGTCCAGGCGATAAGCGAAGCTATCGATGACCGAAACATCGCACACAAAAAGTCACGTTCATTCGATATTCGATATTTGGTCAAACTTTACCGATTTCAAAATAAATTTTAACTCCCGGTTTGTTTTTAAAATACGCTGAATTTTTCAGAATAGTGTTTAAATTCACCAAATCAATCGCTTTTTAGGGAATACCATTAAGAAATGGTCACCCCTCTGTTAAGAGCCCTTTATCGATACACTACAAATAAACTATCGTTATCACACTGTTAAGTTTTTGTGGTTGGTGGCTGAAGGTATTGCCATATTTCCTTGTTGAATTAAACTATAGTTTTTATAAAATAAACACAATGGCCATGGCTAATCTGGATAAAGGTGAAATCATGGATCAGATGAAGCAACAGATTGCTGTTGCAAACGCCCAGGAGCTGCTCAACCAAATGACGCAAAAGTGCTTCAAAAAGTGTGTTAATAAGCCGGGAACTTCTCTCGATTCTTCGGAACAGGCAAGACATAGTCCATGATGATTATAAACTTGCGATCTTAACCATTATTCTGAAATTTTTGATTTAGAAATGCATTTCCATGTGCATGGACCGGTTTATGGACTCGTGGAACCTCATCTCTCGGACGTATGGCCAAAGATTACAGCGCGAACAATCCAAGTTCTAGAGGCACACACCGGCGTCTGCATTTGGGCCAGATCGGACTAACTATATCTGCCAGCAATTGATTAGTTGTAATATATACAGTTTAATAATGCAATAAAAACATGCATTGCGTGTGTTACGTGATTCTGATAACAACGTGCATATGAGCTCACTATCGATAGGTGGCGTGCTAGCGCTTGATTTTGAGTGCTGTTAACTTAAAATGTGTGGCAGCTGTTTATGTTACTACATGTGACTATACATCATACGTAAAATGTAGACTCTTTTCGCGGGGAATTTGAGCTTGTCCATATTATAGTTTTTTAATTAAAAATTGTTTGCTGTTCAAAAACTTAAAAAAACGCACCTGCTTTTTCGTGTATATCCATAACGGCTGTCAAAAAAGTACATGCATTATCCACTGATAATGTTGACAGTACATGATCCTCACAAGCGGTGCGCAGTTCAACTACTCCCATGTCCTGAGCCATCATCATCATTTGAAAAACTTGCGAGTCCTGCAGAACCAACTGAAATAAATATATACAAAGTATGAAAAATTTTTTCTGTCAAATTTACTAAATATTTTACCTTTGCTGTGTAGACATACAGTATGAACTGCCTAAATAGTTCCGGATTTACGTGGGGCAGTCTAATGGTAGTTGGAGTAGAAGTTCCTGGGACGGCAGGAGAAACTGTGCATCCGGGAATACGACACACTTCACCTCTCTTCGCCGTCTTGAAACTCTTGCATCTGAAATCGAATTGAGTGAATGGAAAGACGGCGCAAATTAATTGAGTGACCAACAGGAATGCCCGAGATTCCAGCACGCAACATTGTAAGGTCCCAAAAAGGAAACTGAATGGAGGCAATCATCATCTTACACAGCGAAAATTACGCCAGAACTTAGTGTAGACTTTAAAATGATATGCAAACAAACAGTTTTTTATTCGATTTAAATTTAGCTATGAACAGTCATCGCAGAATATAAACATTTAATATATCTGAAATATTTTTTTCCAGTGCAAGTCAAAACTTACCGAGCCATCAACATTAATCTGTGAGCATATATGCGTTCATCTCTGCCACAAACAAATACCACATCTGCACTATCCTGATCCTCTGAAAGGCGCTGAAGATCATCGATTAACTGGGGCAAACTCATGATTATCCGGTGATATAGCACTATGGTGTAAAATAATTCCAATCATTCGTGCCGAGACGCACGTGTTGCCATTTTCCTCTTCAAACACTTGGCGTTGTTATTATTTTGCTAATGGGTTTGTTTATGTTTTCACTTCCCCGATCTGATTTAAAACTCTCTTATTTTCTCTCTTTTATTCACTGTACTTGTGGGACCGAAAAAACCGGTTTCTGTCTGAAAATTCTTGGCCAACACCAAGCCACAATCGATTTGGCAAGCAAAATGATCTGGGAAAACAATTACATCTTTTTTAATGGTACTTTAAACATAAATTTGAAGCAACACTGCACAATTTACTTTATATATATGAAGTTAAACATTTTATTCGATCCTTTATTTATTTGTTTATTTATTTATGTTTAGAATAATTTATTCGGACGCTGGGCGTTCTTCTCCCGATCGCGATTTAGTGAAGACTGAAGAAGAGACTTGCAACAGGTCGCTCTTTTGACTCTTTCTCAGTTTTTCATTCAAGCAGGTAAACGAGATTAGTCTTTGCCTTGCTTTTCGCGACTGTAGCGCTCTTTTAAGATGCTCTTATATAAGATGTGTTTTTTTGGGATGCCATAAACAAAAGGAGTGTTAAGTTAAGACTTTCAATCAAATAAAAAAGTTACAAAATTATTTTGTTAGTATAATAATTCAAAAATGTATTTATTTATTTCCAAAATGCAATCCCAAATTATTTGAAATTTGCAACAAAAAACATTATAATATTTTTATTATATTCACTAACCGCAATAAGTTGTTTAAATTTTGTCTAAATTATAAAATCATTGTGTTGTTCAGTTGAACAACGTGTCCTCACAAATATACGTTGTCTTTATCGCTAATGAAGGAAAACAAACGAATTATTGGGTTATCAGCGGACTAATGCACCTCTACTTTTTAAAAATTACCTATTCGAAATAAACAAACTGGTATAAAACTATAATACACAACTTACAGTACAGGGGGGGCCAACCCCTGCTGCTTCGAGGCTCTATCTTCATAAATCTTCATAAAGGCTTTATATAGGTACTACTTACTTATTCTGGCTATAGTTTCCTCAAGAAAACCGCTGAGTTTCGAGGAACTGGAAAAGAGGTTCTTAACGCCGATCTTTAAAATTGAAATAACCAGTCTCTAATTATTAATATATGAATTATTTATTGTATAACAAAAACGTACCCCTCTGCGAAGTGTTGTCTTTTACATGATACATACTTCTTAACATACATATTCACTATAGCCCTGACTGTAAAATAACAAGCAAAAACAAGAAAGGAAGCTAGCTTCGGCAAGCCGAAGCTTATATACCCTTGCAGTCATCAAATATGTCGAACAAAACTCATAAAGGCTAGACAACATCGAAGCTAAGACGATTTTTCTATTCATTTTCCATATTTTTGACTATAGATCATATGGGAGCTATACGATATAGTTGTCCGATTTTGATCAAACTTAATTCGTAATTCAAGAGTCGTAAGAAAACTCTATATTCCAAAAATCATACTTGTCTGATGAAAAACAACGATGTTATAATTTTATTTCCATTATTTCTATATAGATTTTTCGATCTTTCCTATGGCAGCTATAAGATATAGATGACCGATTTTTATGAAACTTTTTTCTCAATATAAACGTTGTTAAAAAACTTTTTATTCAAAAAATCATGCTCGTGGGATAAAAAACAACGATGTTATCAATTTATTTCCATTAATTCTATATATAATTTTCGATCTCTCCTATGGCAGCTATATGATAGAGTTATCCGATTTTGATCAAATTTAATCCGAAATTCAATGACAGTTAGAAAACGCCATCTTGAAGAATTCAAGTCGATCTGATCAAAAACAACGGAGTAAGAATTTTTTATTTCATTCTCTCGTATGGAAGCTATCCTATATAGTCGGCCGATCCGGCCCGTTCCGACTTATATACTGCGTGCAATAACTACACACATTTTGGGAAAGTTTCAGCGAGATAGCTTTAAAACTGAGAGACTAGTTTAGGCAGAAACGGACAGACGGACAGACGGACAGACGTACAGACGTATTCCGATTCTACTCGTGATGCTGGTCAAGAATATATATACTTTATGGGGTCTGAGGTGTCTCCTTCACTGCGTTGCAAACTTCTGGCCAAAATTATAATACCCTTTGCTCTGGAAGGGTATAAAAATTATCTGAAACGCTAATAATTTGTTAAAATTAACAATTTTGCATAAAAAATATTTCTAATCGACAAATATATAAGTACATATAAGTAAATATACGATTATCAGTACAGTTTTAGTAAAATAAATGTGGCTTGCAGTTATTCGTTCTTATCAACAACAATGGAAGGCTCTTGGACAGTCGGTGAACGTATCCAAAATTAGTTTATTATAAACTCTTGTCTGCAGTGGGTCAGCGTGACAGAATGTCCAAGTTAATAGTTCTTTTTCTGATTGCAGTTCTTGCAATAATTCCTATAAAATCACTATCGGTATCCGAGAATTCTGGTCGTTTCATGTGCCTGTTACAGGATCCACCGAATCAATGTGGTGAATTTTGCCTCTCCGCCTTAATGCCACTAATTGATCACATTGCCAAGCACCAGAATGAGTGGAAGAATTGTGATAATGAAAAACGAAATGAAACTCAGGCCAAATTGCAAAGAATAGAGGACCAGCAGACAGAAACTCGGGACCAAATTGGAAGGCAGCAGGAATCCCTGGAGAAATCCTGGAAGAAGGTGGTTTCGGAGGACATCATAGTCAGGCTTAATAGGATGGAATTACAGCAGACGGCCCTTCAAGCTTCACGGGCCAAACTTGAGGAACAACTTTCAGCAATACAAGAAACCTTGAATAGCATTAAAAATAAAACAGGGGGTAGAGTAACGGTGATGTCTTCTAAGTTCAAGCTGATCGGATCGAGGTATTTTTATATTGAACATGTTGAAACACAAAGTTGGACGAACGCTTCGGATTCCTGCCAAAAAATAGGCGGACGTTTAGCTTCTATCCAAAATGAAGAAGAATTTAACAACATCGTTAAGAAACTACATCCGCATATAAGTTATATGCTGGGCATTAGTGATTTGGCTGAAAAGGGCGTGTTTATATCCAAGTCCACCGGAAAGAAAGCTCCCTTCTTGAAGTGGAAACCTGGAGAACCCAGATATGAGAACCCTATCCAGCATTGCGTTGCTGTGAAACGCGGTGGCATGTGGGTTGACAGCTGTTCTAAACACCAATTCATTTGCGAGTTTGCAGATAATTAAGTCAAATGCAGAAGAACAACATAAAAAAATGTACTACTTTGATATTTTCATCTTTTTTATATAACAAGTGTAAAACGCAGGGCTTTAAATAAATAAAATATGAAGTAGCTTCAATTTAATTTTTTATAAACAATTGAACGATGGTGCAATAAATACCTTTTTGGTCTTTAAACTTTTTCCACAAGTCAAGTAGCGGGCAATACCAAAAATATTTTTATGCGCATAATTTTCAACCAACGACGACAATTTTTTTTAACGACAGACTAGGTTTTATATACATTGGCATTCATTATTTTAAAAATTTAAAATTCTTCACATTTTTATATTTTTTTATTTTATTTTATTTGAAAATATTTGGCATCAAAAAATGAGTACTATGCTGGAAATAATTTTTAAATACTTAAACTGTATGTTTGGAACTTCTGAGGTATTTGAAAAATTTAATTAGTTTGAAAAAATATATCTTACCTTTGGAGTTGTTTCCAAAAATGTATTTAAATTTTCCTTGGAAAATTAAAACTTTAGTAATATATTTTGCATAATATGTATCTCATTTTTATTTCTTGTTTTTGTTTTAATTTTATGCTGTATTTATTCTTTTCTATTTACTTTTTATGCACTTCTTAAATATGAAACGTTGAAGTTAAATTTGCTTTGTTAACTATTTAATTTAATTAAAATTTATTAACTTGTGGTGCATTTCATGAATTTTCGTTTATACTTCTCTCCCAAATTTTTCTTTTGTTTATTTGCTCCATAGCTTGCACTTTTTATTTATAAAAACTTATTTATTATTTATAAAAATTTGTTGCTGCATACTTTAATAATTAGTATATAAATATTTATATATTTAGAATATGTTATCTGTGGTGGGCTCATTATCTGTGGTGGGCTTTTTATTTTATTTTTTCTTTTGAGTAAGATCAATTCAAGCTATGGAAATGCGATTTGAAAATACGAGTATATTAAAATTTTGAATAGTTAAAAATGTGGTCTTAGTAGTGCTCTTACGAAGTTGTTTAAATGCAATATAGGTTGTTCAAGTTGTATTAAAAAAGCGACCTTTACATTTATAAAATGACTTGAGAATTTGTAATATTTAAAATTCTGTTAAGAATCTCTTATCTGCGGGTATGTTAAAAAACATTATCTAATAAGTATTTAAAAATGTATTTTATTCGTCAAAAGATTGTCGTAAGAAATGATTTCTTAGAAAAACCCATAAAGCGGGTCAAATGTGCCCGTTTATATTAATTTTCTAATATAATATTTATAATTAATTATAAAACCTGGTCTAGTGAAAGTAATGTGGCACTTATTCGTTCTTATCAACTACAATGGAGGGCTCTTCGACAGTCAGGGAATGCAGCCAAAATCAGTTCATTATAAACTCTTGTTTTCAGTGGGTCAGTGGGAAAGAATGTCCAAGTTAATAGTTTATTTTCTGAGTGCAATTCTTGCCATAATCCCTATAAAATCCCTGTCGGTATCCGAGAATTCTGATCGATTCATCTGCCTGTTGCAGGATCCTCCGAATCAATGTGGCCAATTTTGCCTCGCCGCGCTGAGGCCAATTATTGATCTCATTGCCACGCAAAAAAATCAGTGGACCAACAGTGATAATGAAAAACTAAATGAAATCCTTGCCAAATTGCAGAGCGTAGAGGCTCAGCAGACAGACACTCGTGCTCAAATTGAAAATCAGCAGAAATCCCTGGGGAAATCCTGCAAGGACGTTGTTTCGGAGGACATCATAGACAGGTTTAACAGGATGGAATTTCAGCAGACGGCCCTTCAAGTTTCACAGGCCAAACATGAGGAAAAACTTTCAGTCATACAAGAAATTTTGACTAGCATTAAAAGTAAAACTGAGGCTAGAGTAACGATGGCATCTTCTAAGTTCCAGCGGATCGGATCGAGGTATTTTTATATTGAACACGTTCATAAGAAAACTTGGAATTCTGCCACGGACTCCTGCAAAAAAATAGGTGGACGTCTAGCTTCTATCCAGAATGAAGACGAGTTTGACGGCATCATTGCGGAACTAAATTCGAATGCTAGTTATATGCTGGGCATTAGCGATTTGGTTGAAAGGGGCGTGTTTATATCTAAATCAACCGGAAAGAGAGCTCCCTTTTTAAAGTGGAAACCTGGAGAACCTA